AGAAGCCCTCAAAAACTGAAAAGGGGTAAACTTACTCCTCAAGAAAGAAAACACAGAATGGACAACAACCTTTGTTTATACTGTGGCAAAGGGGGACACAGAATTCAGGAGTGCTATTCAGCACGGGGGAGTGCTGATTCAAAACATATAGCAGCCTCAGACACAGTTACAGCTGCTATTCCTGAAAAACTTGAAAAATCCCCACCAGGCACAACATCAACTGTGACTACAACTTCTCCCCTAGACAACAAAGATGTGTCGATGGTGCTTTCTCAGAGTTTCACACACCTGTTAATCCCTATTCAACTCCATTTCAAACAACAGGTGTTATCTACAAGGGCTATGATAGACTCAGGGGCAACAGGCAACTTTATATCTCAAGACCTCATCTTGACACACCAGTTACCTACAATTCCCAAACGCACTCCAGAGTTGCTCCGAGTCATTGATGGAACTCCTATCAGTTCAGATTCCATTACCTGCAACACCCCAGTACTCAAACTTGAGATTCCCCTAGGAAAATCAACATTTTCAGACACCATCTCTTTAGATGTTATACCAATGAAGTACCCAGACATCCTAGGTCTTCCATGGCTTCAAAGGCATGATCCAACTATCAATTGGAAGCATTTATCGCTTGGGTTAGCTCAAATCCTGAGCTCAATACTGAGAAAACCCTTCAAGCCTCAGTTACCCTGCCCATTCGATTATGCCACTCCTTTGCAGTGCCTGTTAGGTCTTTGCGAGGTCCGTACGAGGATAGAACAGTATCTTGGTGCACTTGAGTCATTGATAGGGCTGCGTTTTGAAGGACTTTTGTATTGTCATTCTTAATATATTCAAGGACCCATTGTCCATGGATAACTGGAGTGTTGCAGAACGGATTTCCTTCGTACGTAAGTCCTTCTGTAGCTGTATTCCAATGGACTCCCTTTTATTTTAAGGACGCAACAGAGGTGTGAAATGAGGAAACAAGGGCTGTTTCTTGGAGTGTTATGGTTCGTACGGACTTTGTGTCCTTTCCAACCTGGACTTTGATGTCCACGGACCCAAACCCTTCAATCCTTACTCTCTGGTCTCCAGCTAAGAGGTAGTTTCCGTCCTCACATTCCTTTAGGTTGTAGAACCTCGTACAGTCGTTACAGACATGAATTGTAGCTTTAGGTCCAAAACTCAAACTTGTCCCAGATCAAGGATTTTGACCAAACTATGGACGATATATCATCTCTGATATGGGTTAAACCTTTCCAACCTGTCCTGGAGATAGCAGCTACTTCAGATTTGGAGAAATCATCTCAGGAGGTCATTTTGCCTTTAGCATACCAAGACTACCAACATCTTTTTGACAAGGCAAAGGCATCAATTCTGCCAAAGCACCAGCCTTATGACCATGAGATACCACTCGCAGAAGGCTCAATGCCTCCCTACGGCCCTATCTACTCTCTATCTGAATTAGAGCTGAAAACTCTCAGAGAATACCTAGATGAGAACCTTAGTTCTAGCTTTATCAGACCTTCTTCCTCACCAGCAGGAGCTCCCATTCTCTTTGTCAAGAAGAAAGATGGCTCCTTGCATCTCTGTGTTGATTATAGGGGCCTTAATGCAGTCACTGTTAAAAACAGATATGCTTTACCCCTTATCCCTGAGCTCATAGATAGGCTCTCTTCAGCAAGGATCTTTACCAAGTTAGATCTCAGGGGAGCTTATAACCTGATACGCATCAAAGAAGGTGATGAGTGGAAGACAGCATTCAGAACATGCTATGGTCATTTTGAATACCAGGTAATGTCTTTTGGGCTTGCCAATGCACCTGCTTCTTTCCAAGCTCTCATGAATGATATTCTAAGACCTTACTTGGATATCTTTGTTGTTGTCTACTTAGACGACATTCTTATATACTCTTTGGATACTCAAGAGCATGTTCTACATGTTAGACAAGTCTTAGAGAAGCTATCTCAAGCACAACTCTTTTGCAAACTTGAGAAATGTCTTCTCCATATGTCTCAAGTTGATTTCTTAGGACATAGAATTTCAACAGAAGGCATTCAGATGGACCCTGAAAAGACAAAAGCAGTACAAACGTGGCCTATTCCTTCCAGCATTAAAGAGGTTCAGTCTTTCCTTGGGTTTGCCAACTATTACAGGAGGTTTATACCAAGATATACATCCTTGGCTTTACCCCTTACTCAATTACTTCACAAGGACACTTTGTATCACTGGGATAAGACACAGCAAGATGCTTTCGATGCTCTTAAAGGAGAATTCAAAGAAGGGAAAATGTTACTACACTTTAACCCCTTGAAACTTGCCACTCTTGAGACAGATGCCTCAGATTTTGCTATTTCTGGAATCTTATACCAAGCTCCAAAGGACAAACAAGAAGAGCTACAGCCTGTGGCATTTTACTCAAGAAAGCTATCAGCAGCCGAACAAAACTATCCCATTACAGACAACGAACTGCTTGCCATAGTATGTTCTCTAAAGCATTGGAGATGCTACTGTAATGGTGGGTGCACCAGATGTGAGAATCTAGCCACCCAAGGAATGGATGATTTTACTAAGACAACACACTGTCTTAGGAAACAGAGCCAAAGGGTTGTAGCTTAGACTATTCCACAACGCAGCAATCAGGTGTGTGATGTAGTGAAGTGGTTCAGACAAGTTGCAACAAATGTTGAGGAACTCAGGGGTAAGTCAGAGGTTAACACCTCACTGACTTTTCAGAAACAAGGAGTAACAAGATGAATGCTTGGAAGCTTGGAAAAGACGTGGAAGTATGTGATAGTCGATTTACTGTATTGTCTGCTTGCCCTTTCTTAAGGAAAGGGCAATCCTATTTATGCTAAAGGAGTGTAGTTCTCTCATTTTCCAAGACTTTCCATGACTTACCAGGCTTGGTAACTGTAGTCGATGTAAGAGAATCCCATAGAACCATCTCTTAGGTTCGTAGCCTATAGGAAGTAAAAGGAGGTCCAAGGTCAGAGTACCCCTATAGACAAATTATGTCATAGACAAATTATGTCATAGACAAATTATGTCATAGACAAATTATGTCACAGACAAATTATGTCATAACTTAACCAATCTTGTGGGTAACTAAAGAGCGATGACATGTAATGAATCATAGAGGTTCGTAGGAGCTTTTAGAGCTATCGTTCATGCTCCTAGGCCTCTAGTTGGTAAAGATATGTCATGTGGTAGTATGAGTGATGTCATGTAATGAATCATAGAGGGTTGTAGAGATATGCTATGTGGTAATATCGGCCCAGTAACTAAGGAGCGATGACGTGTAATGAATCATAGATGGTTGTAGCAATCGTTGAGTAGTATTGCTCTTGTTGTTGGTGTGATAAGCCAAAATATGTATAGTGACTTGTAGGTTTGAGGAGGAGATTTCCAAGTTTGCTCTTGAGTTTGATAGCAAACTGAGTGCAACGAATGTCAGTATGACAGCTACCTTGAAGGGGCAAACTATCCTATCACTATTTACAGTGACCATTCAAATCTCTTGGCCTTTACAACCACTAAACAGCTCAATCGACGACAAGCAAGGTGGTCTGAACAACTAGGAGATTTTGACTTTGTTATAAAACATGTCTCAGGGGATTTTACTAAGACAACACACTGTCTTAGGAAACAGAGCCAAAGGGTCGTAGCTTAGACTATTCCACAATGCAGCAATCAGGTGTATGATGTAGCGGAGTGGTTTAGACTAGTTGTAACAAATGTTGAGTCTGAGAACTCATGGATAAGTCAGAGGTTAGTGTCATACTGACATTCGTTGCATGGGTAATTAAGGAGCGTGACGTGTAATGAATCATAGAGGGTTGTAGAAGCTTTTGGAGCTATCGTTCATGTTCCTAGGCCTCTAGTTGATAGAGATATGTCATGTGTAGTATTAGCCCAGTAACTAAGGAGTGATGTCATGTAATGAATCATAGAGGGTTGTAGAGATATGCTATGTGGTCATATCAGCCCAGTAACTAAGGAGCAATGACGTGTAATGAATCATAGAGGGTTGTAGCAATCGTTGAGTAGTATTGCTCTTGTTGTTGGTGTGACAAGCCAAAATATGTATAGTGACTTGTAGGTTTGAGGAGGAGATTTCTAAGTTTGCTCTTGAGTTTGATAGCAAACTGAGTCTCACATCTGGTGCACCCACCATTACACTATAGGGCTGGTGTAGAGGTCTACTCGAGTGCTATAGTGGTTGCACCATGCATATCTCGTGCATTTTGTAGGGTTGCAGTATCCCTAGCAGCCTAGGCCGTGTCTAGTAATAACTGTCTTCTTCTCTATTACTTTAGAGAGTTCGCTAGCGTTAAAGAGGCAGAAGGGCCTCCTAACTAGCATGAGGAAGGAGACAATCTAAGTGATTTTCCTAATCTATGGGTTTGCCCTATGTCGGTAGGGTCGGCAGCTAGGAGATTGACGGCATCGGTGAGGGATTTGCTGTTGAACTGCTCGTTATAGAGGAGGAAGTCGTGCACATGGAGTTGATGAAGAAGACGGTGGGTTTTGTGGCGTCAACGCTGTCATTGAAAGGCGGTAACCAACGTCGATGCCGCCAAGGTGGCGCACTTTTGATGGTGGTTTTTGCGGACATGGTGGCTAATTATATTTCTAATATGGGATAATAAGATTTGCTGGGTATTAATATTTGCAGAGCTGGTCTGACGTTTGAGTTGGAGATCGGAGTTGGGATAAGAGGGCATTTCTCGTATCTTTGAAGCCTTTATAAGGAGCGGTAAATGATGCTATTGCCCCACTTACCTACAGCCTCCTCCGCATAAGTGCGGGGAGTGCTTAACACTAGGAATAGATCTCTGAAAACTTCCTCCTTGAGGATGAAGATGATCGCTATGCAGGCCTCGAGTCTTTAGCACTTGCATCTGTGGACCAAGCGTGGGGAAGACGACAGCCCAAAGACGAAATAAATAACTTGGTTTAACACAACAGCTACACGGCAGCTAATCAAAGAGAACAACATTTCCCATACACACGCGCGCTTGCTATGAGCAAAACTTTCTATCTACTACCCCACTCGATCCAGCAGCGTAAAAGCCTTTTAAAGATCTGTCACTATTCATGCTTGTGCACCTTCCTCACGGGTCGAGCTCGCGCTCGCCTTCCCCGTGCGCCCTCTCGTAGGCGACTTCTCATCGTTGGGCGATTTATCATCACTGTCATCGGCGTCGCTGTCGTCGCTATCTTGGCGACTGTTCCTGTTCGACGAGCGGCTGCGTGTCATCTACTCCCATTAGCCCGCATCCAAAATCAGCACAAACAGAAGAAACACATACCCACGACCTCACACCCCCAATAAGTCCCAAACTATACCCCGTCGCAAAGTCCCCACCATTACCATTCCCCCACCCCCCGGGCAACTCCAACCTCTCCCTCAAATGCCCCAACGCCCTCGGGCTCCCCACCGCAACCCCCTCCGGCCCACCGCTCAGCCCGCGCATCGGGCTAGCGGGCCGGCTGGGCTGCCAGAAGCGCTGCAGCTCCTTGCCCAGCTCCTGGCCCGTCGAGGTCCAGTTATTGCGGATCGAGTCGCGGATCTCGCCCACGTGGCGCTTGAGGTCTAGCTCGTTCTTCTTGAGCCATGAGACGTTGAGTTCCTGGCGCGAGGTGCCGCGCTTGAATTGGCGGGCGATGTATTTCTCGTAGTCGCGGACGACCCTGGGGGGGGAGGTTAGCGATGAACGGGGCATGTGTTTGGAAAAGGGGGGTTGCCTACTTTGTAATAATTCCAGTTGTGCTGACGCCCTCCGTGCGCTGGGTGACGAGGAACTTGCCCGCCTGTTTAATTGGCTTGTAGATGTCGTCGCCCTCGTCCGCTCCATATGGCAGGTCGTCGTGCGCGACATAGTCGATCTGGTGCTCCTCCAGGAACGCCGGTGTCACGATCCACGGGCAGTTACCAATCACCTCATCCACCCACTTGCAGTGACGCACCGTCTCGGCGCGTTCTTGTCCAGACAGCACAGTCAAACCCTTGCGCTTGTGCGTCTCCTTGTCCCCCGTCACCCCAACAATCAGGTATACCTCCGAGAAAGCCTTCTTCGCCTGTTCGAGCTGGCGCATATGTCTATTTCCCCAGTCAGCACACACACACTAATGCCACCCCATCACAAAGAGCCAACTCACCCAAGATGGAAAAGATCAAACACCCCATCAGCATACACCCTGACCGCCCTCCCCTCCGGCGGCGCATTCGTCTTATACCCCACCGGATCCGTCAGCTTCCCCACCGGCGGCGCCGCCATCGCATCCCCTCCCAGCCCAACACTGCTACTGCTCTCCTCCTCATCCTCCTCCTCATCCGCGCTGCCCACCGACCTCTCGGTCGCCAGCCCAGACCGCTGACGCTTCCGCTGCGTCTCGATCGCGAGACCGGGTCCCTTCTTGTGCAGCTGGTTCAGCGGCGGCTCGGTGGTCTCTTCGCCCGAGGCGTCGCGCGAGGAGGGCTGCAGCGCGACGGGCGCGTCGCGCTTGCGTTTTCCGGCTATGGCGGCGTTGGTGCCGGAGCTGGGGGATGATGCCGACGACATTGTGTGGTATGGTGGAAGTTGGGGGTCGGAAGTGAGGGTCAGACAAGCTCGCTGTTGACGTCGCAGATCCTTATTAGTCGCTCAGAAGTCAATCAGGACGCTCAAGAACAACTCGCTCTCCGTGCAACGCGTTCGGGATTCTAGATCGGGTCGATATATCAAGTACGTCTGGAGATGGGGAAAGGGAGGGATGTCGACGACGGAGCTATGTCATTGCCTCCTGACCATGGTGGTCTCCCAGCCCAAGGCCGCTTAAATATATTTCGCTTGTCGCTCGCTTTCCCTGGCCAAGTTGCCTGCCCCAGGACCCACTCCACTTCGCAAGCTCGTCATTTCAATGCAGCTCGAGGGGACGATACCAGCCACAACGACAACAGGTGAAGACCGACAACGGGTGAAAACCGCCACAGTGCTGTGTGGTGTGCTGTGGTTTGCTTTTTTGATAATATTACCACAATTTCCTTTTTCTTATTTCATTTGTAATTGTGACGCGGTATATTTCTTTATGCTTCGTATACGGATGATTTCACCGAATTGCTGGGCACATTGGGATGGGGAATTACCTTCAGTTTCAGCAGTCACGGCTTTATTAAAGCACACCAGGCATCAAGTCGAAGTCACCAATCAGTCCTCAGAAAATACAAAAATGCTTCGAAACTAGAGTCTTAAGTCTATAGCACCCCCCCTAGACGGACAGCATGTGCGCAATTGAACAGGACCCTCGGACAACAGAACGCGCTGGTATGATCGCACCGACACAAAGGAAACTCCGCACTGGCAGACAAGCCAAAATAATCAGCTCGTCAGCTCGCAGTGCCTAGATGTGCCTGCCGCAGCAGCCACAGAACGCTCGCTGCATCATCTGCCCAAAATGGCATCGGTGGCCGCCCGTCTCCCCCTCCACATCTCCTCCCCAGCCAGCCCTATCCCTCCCACACTCCCTCCCGGAATAGATCGCCCAGCTCCAACACAGCACAGCAATGCACGATTATGCCCACTACTCCTGCACTCCTCCCTGCCGCGCACGAGGGCCAAATATGGCTGATTAATCTATCCCCGATTACTCGCTCTTCGCCTCTCCCTTCACCGCATTCTCTATCTTCTCCTTCACGTCGATGATCGGCCTCATAATCTTGCCTGGGGTCGCTGCGGTCGTTGGCAGTGGCTGGTGGTCGTGCTCGTCGCCCTTGACGGGCTGGGCTTGGCTTGCGAGGTCCTCCTCCTCCTCCTCGTTGTCGATCGTGTCCGCGTCCTCAGGACCCATGAGGATCTCGCTCCCGTCGCCGAGGAGGATGATGCGCCCCTTCTTACCACCAGCGACGATGTTTCTCGACCGCTGGTCCATGTCCATGTCGTACCCGCTGTCACTGTCGTCGAAGTTGTGGTGAACGCCTGGGCCGCGGAACTCAGCTGTCCACGCATTAGTGAAGAACAACTCCGGGAAAATTGAACCGTCCTGACCGTATTCCACAGGGGCGCATGGGCCATCCCCGTTGGCAACTCGCTGTGCGATCTTCTCGTACCACTCCTCCTTAGTCTGCCCGTTAAGGATACCAACGACTGACATGGTCATGTTATCACAGCCAACGCCGCCGGTCTCCGAGTTGGAGGCCAGGCAGTTGTCCATCATGTTCTCGCAAATCTTCTCGAGGTCCTGCTTGGCGGCAATTCCACGTCTCACAAACTCGATAACAGCCTGCGAAGACTGGCAATCCCAAATACCTTTTCAGTGTTAGCAGAATCCACGTTTCATATGGCGCCAATCTCACCATCACAGGCAACAACCACAAACTCATCGTCCTCAGAGATGTCATGGATCGTTACGTCGGGGTATGCGGTGACAATCTGTTGCTCGGGCGCCAGTTGATGTGACTTCTTGAACTCAAAGTCACCGAGAGCACGAGAGAGCGCCAGGTTGCCGTTGACTCTTCCGAAATCAACAAAGCCACCAGCGGCCGTGATACGGGCCTTCTCGCCTGTATATCGGATTAGATTGGGTCTCATTCATGAGTTCTGCAGTATATACCTTCGTTTTGCGGCTTGTGGTCAAAGGAGAGCGGCTTTGCACGTCCCTTTACTCCCAGCACGGCTCTTGAGTCTCCAGCGTTACCCTGTCTCGATTAGCACGTACAATGGCACGGGATACGCGCCACAACTTACTACGTAGATCTTCTTTCCTGAGATGATTGCGACCGTAGCCGTGCAACCAGAAACCTCATCCTCGTATTGTGGATCTAGAACGTCAGCAAAGTGAATGACGTCTACTGCGTGCAGCAAGCTAACCGTTCAGAATCGCACGGTCCGTCGCCAAAAACCCATCCTTCAGTGCCTGCTCGATATCGCCTCTCTTGAATGCCTCCTGCTTCGCGATGATCTGATGCACATTGTCACCTGCGAATAAGGCCACCTTTGCTCCACCGTGTCCGTCGTATACTCCGAAGAACGAGAGCCGCTCATCCGCAGGCGCGTCTTGCCTTGGCTTGTCGGACTGGGTCTGTAGGTCAAGAATCGTGGCATGCGCATCTTCCATGCTGATGCGCCATCCCTGCATACATGAGATTCCGTATATCAGTCGCTCATCACCGCCGCTGGACGAGTGCTGTGAGAAGGAAGAGTCAGCACAAACATCCGTTGTAAAACCGCAAGTGTCTCTCCACTCCCAAACAACCACCAAACCAGCCTCTACGCGCGGAAAAAGTATAGATCCACCCGCCACAGCGGTATACGCCGACTTTCGTCACGTAAGGCCATTGTTGTCGCCCACCCGAAAGGTTCGACACGTCCACCCACACAGCCCCCAAACAACAGGCAGAAAGAAACACACCTTTTCAACAACCGGCTCTGAGAGAGTCTGGCCCATGGCGAAGTGATATTCTGAGCACTTTGAACACCACGGAGATTCGGACAGGCACACACGTGGTAGTAGTGGTTGAGAGGGCGGGTTGAGAAAATTATCGCAATGTGTCTATTGGAGGTGCGGGGTCGGCGGTGGGCGAGATGGAGGGTTGATAGGGTTGGATGGTGGGCTAGAAGTCAATATTCATGAGGATCACGAAAGGGTCGAGGTGTGGTTGAGATTATAACAGGCACGCGAGTATTGAAAGTGAGGAATTTCGTGAATGGGGGTGGTGGTGGAGGTGGAGGTGGAAGGGGGGAATGAGGTTAGGTCAGGTTGTGGTGGTGGATGTGGGGGATGACGATTGAGGGTGGTGCGGAAGGCTAATTTGGCAGTGGGCATTTGGGGGTTGTAAGTACCTTATAGTAGTGAATTGGGTGGTAGAGTACTTTTTGGGGTATTTGGTAAAGGGTGTAGAGTAGAATACGTAGAATACTCGAGAGCAGGTGTGGGGAGTTCGTATTCAGTCTAGATGGGATATTGTTCAGTATAGAAGGACGAAGATGGGATATTGTTCAGTATAGAGGGACGAAGATGGATATTGTTCAGTATAGACGGACGAAGATGGATATTGTTCAGTATAGACGGACGAAGATGGGATATTGTTCAGTATAGAACGTGCTGTTTTGGTGTAAAAATCGGCCGTTTCACTTTTTCACGGTTTGTGGTTTCTTATCGATAACGGCCTGGTCTGGAACCGAGCATCTTCATGTGCGGCAACAGGAAGAGAGAGGTAATGAGCGAGGAAATTGTGATTATATTACAAAGTAACATGACATCGAATGTCATGTTACTTTGTAATATAGGATGTTGTATATCCTCTCCTCCCCCGTCTCTCATCGTTTACCCTATATACTATATATGCGGCTATCCATCGGCTCCATCCATGCAAGGCTGAGAGGTTGACAGGAAGAACAGCCGCAGGCAGCAGATGTGTGTGGCTGGCTGTGATAATCCCGCATACCCAGAGCCATTTTCTAGCATATCCCTCATGCCTCACTCGGTGCTGGTTCTCATGCTGCGCCATAATAAATAAAAGGATAAAAATAAAAAATAAAAAATAAAAAATAAAAAATAAAAAATAAAAAATAAAAAATACGTACGTACAGAGTAACTAGCCCTAAGCGAGCATCACCACCCCCAAAAAATACCCACGCCAATCCGCCTCAGCCTTCCCCTCAGCCTTGCCCATTACTCGTCGGCAAACTCCCCTCAAAACCCCTCCCCAAAAATCACAAAAGAATTAGCAATTGCATGTTTCGATCATGCGACCTCCGGGTTATGAGCCCGGCGCGCTTCCGCTGCGCCAAATTGCTTTGTTGGATGGGAGGCTTGTGTGGATTCTTATAATGATGGGTCGGGCTGGGGGTGGGTGAGATCATTACTGGGGTTGGGCTGGGAGAGTGTGGGAGGAGTAAGGGGAGGCTCCACGTTGTGGATGGTGGATGAATAACGCGGGGTGGCGTTGTACGGGGTGTGATGGTGCAGTAACGTTATGCAGGTGTCTTTGGAGTGGACGACGGTTTATGCAGTTTATGTATGGGGAAGGCTTCTAATATTTGACAGAACTGTATATCCCGCACATCCCACACATCCCGCACCTGACCTGTGTAGGCTAAGGGGTTTGCATTCTTTCTGCAAATGCCTTAACAATCGCGGTCAATCCAATAATGATAGCTTCCACAACTCAACTGTGACCCTGCCGCTTTTTTGGACGCGTCCCGTAACTCAATACAAGTACTGCAACTGTTCCCAACGGTTCCTATGAACCATGCCAACACCAACGTCGATTCCCATCCTGCCCACCAAATACCGCGTCTCTTCAATATAGCCCTTCCTTCTCAAACCCTCCGGACCCCATTTCCTCCCTCACCCCCCCAACCGACTCCCCATCCCCAACGCATCCGCCCCCTTAACTTTATGATCCCTCGGGTTCGCCGCCGCCTCATACAACACCCCCTCCGGCGCCCCCCCCAACCTCATCCACCCCCCCCTAAACCCCACATACCCAACTCTACTCACCTCCTCCCCGAAATTATCCTCAAAGAACAGCGTCAAACTCTGCACCGTGCCGAATAACGCGCGCTTTACCGGGATGTCTTGGACTTCGGAGGTCTGGGAGAGGTGGAGAGTTTGGGTGGGGGTGAGTTGAGTGGCGAGGTCGAAGTCGACGTCGTTACGGTTTACGAAGAGCTTGAGGGTGCGGGGGGCGGAGGGGGATTGGGAGGTCCGGAGGAGGAGGGAGTAGAGCTTGATTTGGCCTGTGAATCTATACGCCGTTCAATCAGCATTGGTATTCCCATAATCAGCCGCCAGGAAAACTGCCGAGTTCTTGGGTGGCGGTACACTGGAGGCGGGGCTGAGGGGGCGCCTCACGGAATATGCATCAAAAGCTGCTCATCAGCGTCACTCTCCAACTCCGGGCTATCCTCCAACCGCTCCGCCCACGTCTTTTTCACAACCGCAGCACCAGACCCGGAAACAGCTTCGTTCAGCGTCGTGATGGCGTCGAAGTCGATGTGTTGGTACAGCGAGTGCTGGATGGCGGGGGTGATGTCGTCGCTGTGGTCGTGGCCGCCGTCGTCGCCGTGGGAGTGGTCATGGCCATGACCGTCATGCTCATCGTGGCAGTGATGAGACATTGTGAGAGTTGTATAGATGGGAGATCTATGGGAGATCTTGTGATGGAGCTGTCTGTCTGTTGACGACAAGGTGGGGGGGTTGGGTGGCGAGGCTGTGGGAGTGTCAGCCTTGCGGATATCAACTCCGCGAGGCTGTGATAGTTATCAGCCGTCAGGAACCAGGAACAAGTGATATTAAAACCAGAAATTAAGAGATGAAATTCCTCGATGCATTGGTAACTAATAGATATTCTATGTACACTTATATATATAACCACCCGGCTTAATCCTCGTGACATTGTAATTTTCGCTGTTCGTTCGCTCGCAATCATATCACCCCCAACTCGCCCATGCATGCTACCCTTATGATTTTCTCTCACTTCCAATTGCTGCTAACAGTCGCTGTCGTATCGCATGTGGCAGGCACCGTGTACTGGCGGGTGGGATCAGACTCCCAGGTAACCGCACCATTCGAGGCGACGTTGATGAACTTGTATTGGAACGTGGTTCCAGATGGCAGATTAAGGGCGGTGCTCCAAAGGTGGTTGCTACTCGTATATCCGCTGGCCGACAGGGCAATCGCGTTGGCTGTGTTCCAGCTACCAAGCTGCGAGATGGATCCGACAATCTTGACAGTCTGGCCGACAACGGTAGTCACTACTTCATTGAAGGTGACCGCAACTTTGTGAGCAATCACGCATGAGGTAGAAGTTGGCACGGAGGAAGTTACTGTAGCCGTTGCTGTGGCCGTTGAGGTTGGCCCGGCTGTTCCAGGGGTCTGGTTGGCGGGGAATGTGATACCCGAGGCCTTGGAGTAGGATCCAGTGAATGCGGAGTTTCCACAGGTGCCTGCGGGAACCGTGTTGCCGTTGATTGAGCCCCAGGAGGCTGGGACGATGCCAGCGCGTCGGTCGCTTGCGCTCAGGAACGCAGCATATGACCATGTAAGGTCGGCGGCGGAGAGTGGCGATCCGCTCGAGCGGTCGTATTGCTCAGCAAGGGCTCCGCTTGAAGGTGTATATGCCTGTGCCTTGGTCATATAACCATCGGCGTAAGTCTTTACGGCTGCGACAATTGCGGTGTATTGGGTGCTGGACTTCTGATATGTTCCGACTGCCGCAGAAGAATAAAGGTCCTTGAAAAAGGCCAAAGACACGTCAGTAATGGCGATGGCTCCGACTGAGTTCCATTGGTAAAGAGCGTCATAAAGCTGCTCGGCGGCAGCAAAAGTGGCCAGATACCAAGGGTTTCCATTGTAGTAAGTATCTTCCGAGTAGCGACCAACTGCAACTGCAGCTCCCTGGGCGATTCCAGAGTTGATGGAGTATACGGATCTGAACGAGTCGGTAACAGCCTTATGGTTTGCAAGAGCTCGGTCCGAGCATCTAGAAAGCGTCAGCAACAGCATGGGTACTCTTCAGATCTTCAAAACATACGGCTGGAATGTGGCAGCATCACAACCGCCTGCGGGGTCAAAGCTGTGGATTGATGTCAGGATAGAGTTAGCATCCTTTCCAGTGTGCCCGTTGTTGACATTGATGTTAGAAACAATATAGTTGCCGTTGGAAGTCCAGTAATTTTGCTGGTAGCAAAGGATCTGTGGTGCAACAGTGGCGCAGTTGTTGCAGGATTTGCCAATTCTAGCTGCGAATGCAATGCCCTCTACAAGAGCACGGTGCTGGGAGGCTGTGGTGAAGAAGGAGTTTCCATTCACCTCTTCCCACAAGTCAAACCCGCCCTGGTTCCTATGGATGATTAGCATAGAACAAGGCTTTGATAGAAGTCACCCTTACCAGTATTGGACAACATAGGCAAGGTCGTTGACAAGGACTGGCCAGATTGCGGACACTGCAGTAGCAGAATAACCATTGTCGACAAGCCAGTTTCCATAGCCGATCAGGACTTCTGCTCTAAGAGCTGGGCCATCGCGTTGGGGACGGCCCCAGTTATCTGTAAAGGCAGTAAGATCAACATTGAACTTTGGCTCTCCAAGCCCAGCCCCAGTATCGAGTGAGCCCGACGGGTTTGTGACACCCTGGAGATTGGCCTGTGCGATAATATAATTTTGAATTTTAGCCTGGAGGCTTGCATGGTATCCATTCCCTAACTTATCCACGAGGTATTTGGAGACAAGAGCTGAATCCCGTGACCAGGTATACCAATCTAGATTTTGTTAGAGAGGTCTATCAGAGAGGTGGTTTGGAATAGTCACAATTTGGCGAGGTTTTGCTCGGGGAAGCAACGACTGCTCCGGATGCAGCACCCTGAGCGTTGCATCCGGCTGCACCGATATTACAGAGCAGTTTCGTCAAGGAATAAGGGCTTTGAGTCGTGATCCAGGAATCGAGATCACGCTTCTCGATATGGGCACGGCTAGTGCCAGGTAAAGCGAGTGCATTCTGGAAAGCCAGAAGGCTCACCAAGAGAGCAGGGCCAAGTCCAAACATGATGAACTTGATGGTGAAGGGATTATGGAAGAGGCGAAGTGGGATCGGCGATGATGAGGGACCTGAATGAAGAGCGCCCTCATAAGACTTATATAGAGGATTTGAGTCTTGGACCCGTCTATTCAGAGACAAATGTCAGTGGGGTCAAGACGGGCCGAGAATGAGGCCTGCGAAGCCTCCTTAATGACCCTATATCGTACCTGGAGAGAGGCGCCATGTTTTCGGCGAACCACTAAAAGCGGAAATGATGCTGCGATAGTGGGCTCTGTCATCCTGGATGGGAAGTTGAGAGGTGGGTTCAGTGGCAGTTTGTGGCGTCGAGTGCGACTCCTGTCGGCACCTGAGCCAAAATGTCTCACTTGCCGCCAATGTCCCCATTTCCTCACTGCATCATTGAGCACATGTCTGTTTATCTGATGCTATTCGCGAAGATAAACGAGGAAGCCACGACCTGTACAAGTCATCAGGTAATTCACAATAATACAGTGTATTTCAACCCGTGATTGTTTCAGTGCGTAGCCATCGACTTTGGCAACTTACAGCTGTCTCGTGAACGGAACATCTCGTGAGCCCAACGCACTGTAGGAGCAAGGACTCGCCAGACAGTGCGCCGATGCGGGGTCCCCATATTGATTTCCACGTGCGCGGGGAAAAGCTTACTGAAAAAGTATCGATGCAAACAGCCCTTTTCCATGGGCTTTTCTAGCACCACCGATCCGATTTCTTGGAGTCTGGCGTTGCGTGCCGATCGTGTACTCTTTGCACTCTAATATATAGTGCGCGCGGCTACACTTGCCATTGACGATATGCCGCTCAGTTGTTTATTCGTTTATGCGGCCGAGACTTAGCAGCTACGATGCTCCATGGATCAGCCGCTCGCCGAGGAAACGCCGCTAAATACCCTTCTTCATCACACTGCCACGCGTAGCCTTGGCCGATTAAAGGAGCCGATCATACAGGATAATGATGCATATTGGGTGTTCTTAGCCAAGCCGTAGGATCACTAAGCCTTACAGGGAGTGTAAAGGCGACCACGGCACGCCTCCGGCGGCCAATGGTTGCCGTGCGATGATTATTACCAGTGGTTATATATGAAAAAATTAGTTTAGCATGCTGCTTCTCGCATGTGAGATATGCACTGTAATGTCGTATTTTTCAGGAACGGGCCGATGCAGTGGTTTTTGGGTCTGTTGGCAACATTTTTCACTATGGAAGGCGCCATATTGGCCAGAGAGGCGTCAAAAGAGCCTCGGAAGTTGTTGGTGAGACGGGATATCAAGCCAACTTATCCAGTTATTTCACAGAGTAATTCGGCCCTATTGCGCTTTTGAAGCTATCGTCGGTTTGGATATATCGCTCAGCAAGTGAGATATGTGAATAATCACTCTTACAAACCGCACAGGATGTCTATGGCTCACGGTGCTAACATCCGTCTTTGCTTTGCATCTCTGTCTTCATCGAATGCATCATCAGCCGAACTGCCCCTCGGAGGGCTTCCTCGAAAGGAATAGGCAGCCCGAAGACGGTGCATGTAGCATGTCGTATCTCCCAATCTCACAAGGGAATGACTACTGGAAATAGTAAGTAGGATATGAGGCGCTGAACACCTCATCATCAAAATCCAGCCTGTATCACCAGTCTAAGCTTTGTAAGTAGCAATATAGAGACCTGTTGGTCGGAAATTGTCATTTTGACCTCAGCAAGCCCGAATAGGTGGCCAAACTGATTGAATCAGCCTCACTTCATATATCCAGACGGCCAAATAAAAATAATCACAAAATTCAAATCTGGTTTAAGATGAAGGTGCGTGGAGAAGTGAATGAATAGTTGTAGAAGCTAAACCGGCTTAGCTTAGTAAGCTAGCGCATGTGCCCGTCATGCCGAGATACTGAAATTGGAGCCTCAGCCTCATGTCGCCTCGTTGCCTCCCATCACAACGGACTGTATTTGAACCAACACAACGATTCAAAGGTCCACCTACTCACAACACAATATGGCGAGCGCAATTTCTATCGAGGAAACGAATCGACTTCGTATATCATTGGGGCTGGCGCCTTTGCCGGTACCAGGAGGCGGGCCCGTTTTCAAAGACGCCACCAAATCCTCTCCGGACGACGAAGAGGTGGCGAGCACTCTTGAGTCGCGACAAGCAGAAAGCTACGCGAATTACAAGAAGCTTCAAGATGCCGAAGAAGCCAAGCGCAAGCGCGAGGCGAAAGCAGAGGCCATTAAAAAGGCACGCGATGTGTCGAGACGATTCACCAAACTCGAAGGCAAGGGCCTAGGAGAAGCCGACGAGGACGATCAAGATGCTAAGAGCTGGCTCATCAAACAAAAGAAACGCCAACGCGAGATCGAAAAGGCACGAAAGCTCGAAAAGGAACGAGTAGAGGCTGAGAAGGAAGCGGAATATACGGAGAAAGATCTCGCAGGAGTCAAGGTTGGCCATGAGCTGGGCACATTCCAGGAAGGGGAAGATCACGTCCTTACCCTGAAGGACACAACTATCGACGAGAATGAAGAGGAAGGGGATGAGCTGGAGAATACAGATCTGAGAGAGCGAGAAAAGCTCAAGGATCTGTTGGAGTTGAAGAAGAAGAAGCCGGTTTACAACCCCAACGATATAGATAACTCGGAGGATAGGACCATTTTATCGCATTACGATGTTGAGATTGACGGCAAGAAATCGAGCAGATTCACTCTGGATGGCCAAGGAAGCACAAAAGAGCAACTGGAAGCGATTAAAAGTGGCGCAACACTGGGAATGAAACCAAAGGCTATTAGCCTTGATTTTTTGAGTAAGTCTTTGTACGGCTATTGGGAACGATTCAGTGCTAATTTATTTCAAGAGGACGAGCCATCTTCTGATTATATAGATGCTGCGGGTATCAAGATCCGCAAGCCAAAGAAGAAGAGGGCCAAGTCGACGAGGCAGAGGGCTGTCGATGAAGACGACATCGTCCCGCCAATGGATGAAGCACCAACGGATAATAACGATATGGAGATTGACTCGGGAGCCCCAATCATAAAGAAGCGGACATACGAAGACGTCTCGTTCGTTGACGACGACGACCTACAAGCGTCACTTGCGGCACAACGGCGGAATGCACTCAAGAAAAGGAAGCGAGTCAGGCCCGAGGATATCGCAAAGCAACTTCGTGCAGAAGCTGCTACCTCGGACGCTACTGAAGAAGAAGGGGCAACGGGACTTTTGATAGATGAGACCTCGGAATTTGTAGCCAATCTTCAGAAACCAGAGGCGCCGGAAGTGAAGAGGCCGCGTGCTGCACCACAGCACACAGAAATCGCCACAACGATGGGCGCAGAGTCAGACGAAGATGGAGATGTCAATATGGAGCAGCAATCATATGCTAATGTTGAAGATCACGAGGACCTGCAGGAGCGCCTCCAGCGCGAGGAGGGGAATATTTCCAGTATGGGAATGGACGACGAGGCTACCCTTGATAAGGGCCTAGGTTCGACGTTGAAGCTCCTCAAGGATAGAGGTATTCTCAAGACGTCGGAATCTGGTGATCGCAATGCCATCTTCAGAGAGAAGCAACTTTTCCTCGCCGAGAAACAGCGGAGGGAAGCTGCCGCCGAGCTCAAGGCACGCCAGCAACGTGAGAGAGATCGTGCCACTGGGCGCCTCGACCGAATGTCAGCACGGGAGAAGGAGGACTACGCACGCCAGCAGAACACCTACCGTGACCAGCAGGAGTCTAGGCAACTTGCGGAACATTTCAATAAGGAATATAGGCCGAATGTGGAGCTCAAATATACTGATGAGTTCGGGCGGAACATGAACCAGAAAGAAGCCTTCAAGCACCTTAGCCACCAGTTCCATGGCAAGGGAAGCGGCAAACAGAAAACGGAGAAGTTGTTGAAGAAGATTGAGGACGAGAAGAGGAGAGAGGCACAGAGTTTACTGGACTCCAGCCAGCTGACAGGCATGAGCGGTGCCGTTGGCCAACAGTTGAAGAAGCAGAGACAGGCCGGTGTCAGACTTGCTTGAGCCTTGTACGATGGATGATGAATCTATATAAAGGTGCAAGCCCCAAATAATATCATGGAATTCATTGCTGACAAAAATCATCATCGAATTTATGATATATACCCATTTTCGATATGGGTGAAGGTAATATGTTGTTTTACATTGATCGTACAAAGCCAAACCGGCTCATGATTCTAATATCCCTCTATACCGTAACCTTTCCCGGCTTTCCTTCCTCGGCCATAAACTGTACATCCTTAACTTCAGGCTCGTCCTCGCCAATATCAATCTCCACATCCTTAGCTAGCGCATCATCGTACTTCTGTATCTCTTCTGCAACCTGTTCTTGTGTGACTGGCAGCCCATCCTCTCCAATAAGCACCTCCTCCTTCGGCGGCAGGCCCAGCGCCTCGCGCTCGGCTCTAAACCTCTCCTTAACAGACTCGGACTGCATAACTCTCCACCTCAATTTCCATCCTCCCATTCCGAGCTCCTTAATCCTGCCCGCCTTGTCGCCCAACAGGTATTCATCGAGTCCACCGCACTTATCGACCGTCCTCAGCACCCTCGCTGTGACTCTCAACCTCAAGAACTTGCGAAGTGCCACACTCCACAGGCGCTTCTGGTGCACATTCGGTCGCCAGTAGCGGCGTGTCTTAATCTCGTTCCGCTCAGACACCATGTTTCCGAAGCGGATCTTCTGCATGCCGTACAGGCCGAAGTTGGACTGCTTGTACCATCTCGAGGCTCCGTAGGGGTATGGCGGGATGGCGCTGTGTTCGAATGCCAGGCGCTTCGCTGTCGACTTGGCGAGGGTTTGGGGGGTGGTGGAGAAGCAGCGCGTGAAGGAGAGAGTCGGTTGGGAGGGGGGCCTGGGCGGCATTGCTGTAGTGGCTCTGCGGCGCTCTGTCTGCGAAGAGGTTGGCGGTCGAATTGGGAGTTGTTTGGAGGTCACCCCGTTGATGGACTCGCGAAACATTTCTCTGGGATACGGAATTATGATGAGCCGAGCTCCAAGGAAATGTGTATGCACGTGATTTGGACGCTTCTCTCACAAATCCCTGGCTCAGACATATTTCAGGATCTTAAACCTATAATCATTTAAATAGGTCATTTAATATATTATAAGTGGTGTTAAATTTCAGATTGTTTCTCATGTCGTGTCTTCTCTGATATGGCCAAAATTGGCTGGGTTTTTGAGAACTTCACTATAAACGGGTGATTCGGCCGAATCACGGCGGACAAGCTGACATGTAACAATGATGATGACAATTCAAGACAACCAGGCGCATACAGTACAGAATTAAAGATATGAGTCTGTCAGTGTTTACAAATTTCTCTGTATAAGGCTGAAGGAAATCTCACCCGTATCACGATGTCGCCGTCGCGCATATCAAACGATGGCAATGACGAGCACCGCGACAAGAGAGTTCGAAGAGTACGAAAGGGGACGCGCAGTTGCTGGGAGTGCAAGCGTAGGAAAATCAGGTGCATATTTGGCGACGATAGTGAGCCCACGTGCAAAGGATGTCTAGACAGAGGCACATCATGCGTTTCTCAAGAGTTTCTCGACGATGCAGAGCGCCCAAGTTCAAATAATACTGGCCTTGGCCACCGGCTTGGCAGGGTTGAAGAGCTGCTGGAGAAGCTGATAACAAAGGTCTCGCCCAGCCTCGATAGATCTACTCCTGTCAAAGAAGCGGACAGTCTACAAGCCGCGTCGTCATGCATTGGTATCGATGTGATTGTGCCGACTGACGAGGGCAGCCATACTGAGTATGGAAACGCCCCGATTATGTCTCTCTTCGACGATAGTGTTGTAAGTTCCAGATTTGTCCGTCTCCTTATAATAGGGGTTAACGGTAATAGTTGAGCCGGCCTCCTGTTCCACAACAGGGGCGGCAAATGCCTACCCCGGGCTCCACAACCAGCTGCTCATCGATGGATACATGCAACAAGATAGACACCGTTCGTCGTACCTTGTACCGCCTTCTTCCCTCTCAGGCAGATTGTGAACTCCTGACAAGCCGTGCCAACGAGTGGTGGTACCTGAATAAGTATTTATCACAACTTACCATTCAAACCGGGGACAGGCCCTACGGAATCCCTACCGTTGTAGTGGAGGAAACCCGGGCATGGCACCCAGCAGCTATAGCAAGGCACCTGCTCGCACTCTGCCTCTGTGTCCAGCAATCATCGGAAGGGTCCAAATTGAAAGCCCTCGAAATGCCGGCGCCTTCCGCATGGATGGAGAAGTGCCTGACAATCATCACGAATATCGTGACGTCCGACGACGAACTTGTTGGCAATGTGGAAGGTCTCGAGTGTCTCATCTTGCTAGGAGGCTTCCAGATCAACGTGGGAAACCTGCGGAGGGCATGGCTCAGCTTTCGTCGGGCATTGAATATCGCACAGCTGATGGGCCTCCACCGGTCCCCAGCCAAAAACAAGCGCGATAGTACAATACCTCTATCTCCAGAAGATATCCACCGCAGCTACATTTATTATCACCTTTTGAAAGGCGATGTTTATCTGTAAGTGGTCTATATGCTGTCATTTCCTCGCGGCCTCTAACTCCATGTCAGAACCTTGCTCCTCGGCCTACCACCTGCCGTTGCCAAAGACCCCTACGCAGGGCAACCAGAGGGTGCATATGATTCCTTGAGCAAGGAAGAATTGTACATTAAGGAGCTCAGCACGATTGCCCTCCGTGTCATCGAACGCAATTCCTCTGGTGAATCCAACGCCTATGCCGAGACGCAGCAGATTGACGAAGCACTCGAAACCTTGAAGCAAACCATGCTTCCATGTTGGTGGCACGTGCCAACAACTCAAGACTACATGAAGAAAATGAACTCCAATGGTGTAACAAAGCAGATGGAACGCCTACTCGGCCAGCTATGGCACTATCAGATTGAGACCCTTGTGCATTTACCATTCATGCTCCGCTCAGCCACTGACAGACGGTACGACTACTCCAAGATCTGTTGCCTTAACGCATGCCGAGAATTAATACTGCGATGGCTGTTGCTGCGGAAGTGCGGGGATCAGCCGTTCATATGCCACATCGTCGACTTTCAAGCCTTTATGTCCGCCAGAATCATCCTCCTCGGGCTCATGGGAACACCAGGCCAAGGCATCCTCGACCCGACCCAGCGCGACCAAGACCGGCGCATGGTAGATGACCTCATCAAGTCGCTCGAGAACACGGCCTTTGCATGCAGCTTCGCCCTCGGCAAGCAGTGCGCGGATGTCCTGAAAACACTCATATCGACGGACCTGAACGGGTTGACGGGCAACCTGCGACTCAAGGTCCCGTACTTTGGCGTCCTCACGCTCGTCTCGGGAGCACAGGCTGCGAACCTCGAGAAGCAGTCGCCGATCACGCCGGCCTCGTTAACTAAGGAGGCTAACGAGCCGACGCCGCGGCCTCCGGTCTGGGTGGATACGCCGGGCATGGGGGAGACTATGGTGCCGGCACCTGTCCTGTCATTTGCGAGCATGCAGTTTCCTGGGATGGATGAGACAGGTATTGATGGGGGGTTGTCAGAGTGGCAGTTTAGGGACTCGGATATTAGGGTGTTTGATAGCCTCGCCAACACGGACGTCGAGGGTAATTGGGGATTTGGGGCCGTGTAGAATAGGGGCTGGGCCTCCACGATATATATGGAAAGGAGGAGTGCTGTGGCGTGTTAGGCGTACTGACCGATGCTAGCGGCGAGCGTTGCACTTTGACATTCTAAAATATAGAGTAATCGTTAGATCTCCCAACTCCATACTTGTATCTGATAGTAATCAAGTTGCTCTTCGCTGCCCTTGAATCTAATAACAGGCCTAAATGTGTTAGGAACTGGCCACGATTATCGTCATATCATGACTGTCCCTCTGTTCAACACTAATAAACACCAGGACTAGCAGTTCGTTATTTAGGCACTGGCATTCGTGCTGTATATGACAGCAACCCACATCTACTAAACGATGCACAGCCACTAAGCTAGGCACGAGAGGCATTAGTATCTACGAATCATGCTATACATGCTAGCTACGAGAGGCATCAATGTCTAGCATTCATCCTATACATGACAGCAATCCACATCTAGAAAATGGCGCACAGAGCCTATTCTTGCCAAGGAGGATATTAGTATCTACCATTCGCATTTTCCAATTACAAAGGAAGGTGCATATGCTAACCTGGCTACGAGAGGCATCAACGTCTCTTACCGAATGGTTCAGCTAGAGTATTTATAAACACGATGTCACGCACAAAAACAACCGATTGCTTCAAGTTTTTAATATTTCATTCTGAAATTAACGCCGTAAGGTACTATATACAGTATGCACCCGTTTTTACAAACGAAACTTGCCGTCCAGGGCCACAGATAACATTTCCATCTACTTCCTGTACCACATCCTCGTAATGCGCGTATGTCTCATTTTCTTCTGGAGCTGGAAAACGCCGTACATCAAAGCTTCAGAAGTAGGTGGGCATCCAGGAACGTAAATATCCACGGGAACGATGCGATCACACCCTCTCGTCACACTGTAGCTGTAGTGGTAGTATCCACCGCCGTTGGCACAGCTTCCCATGGAGATGACCCATCTCGGCTCAGGCATCTGATCGTAGACTTGTCTCAAGGCCGGGGCCATCTTGTTTGTCAAAGTCCCGGCAACAATCATGACATCGGACTGACGCGGCGAGGCACGGAAAATGATACCAAGGCGATCCTGATCGTATCGTGGGGTGGAGAGATGCATCATTTCGACGGCGCAGCAGGCGAGACCGAAGGTCATGGGCCATAAGGAGGATTGGCGAGCCCAGTTGGCAACTTGATCGAGGGTTGTTCTGGAAGGAGGGGTTAGCTGGAAACTGGCAACGTACACAAGTGTACCACGGTATATAGGTATCGGGGAATTGAGCACGTACAATGCGTATTGCATGGCACCCTTCTTCGGCTCCTGGCTGGGCAACAGCACCTCCCGCTTCGGCTTCCCGGTCACGCCCAGCGGAAAGCCCGACGCATTTTGTGAGGTGAGCACGCTCGCAGTCTTCGATGCCGAGGACGAGATCGCGGCAATTGACCTATACGGGACAATGGCAGATGTGGGTTTGGCTACACCGGAGAAGTTAGGATTTGTGGCGACGCGGACTGTGGTGGAGGCAAGCTTACCACGGAGGGCCAATGCGGCAGCAGGCCGTGCGGACGACAGCATCTTGTCTGTGCCACTATTGTATATTGGCAGAGGAAAGGGAATCGAGGGACCGCACGGGATGGAAAGCGAGGGGCGTTTGGATCGACGTCGCGAACTGGAGGCTCTGAAGATTCAATGATGCTCGGTGTAAAGAACGCTAAAATGTGTGGACCAATGAGCGTCACTTAATTGCAATGCTCCCGAGATTGTCCCTTTGCAAGAAAGCTCACCAAAACTGGCCTTATCAACTCGCAATAAACACAATCGCATTGTATATATAGTTGTTAAATGGCATCCTTATAAAGAACACATTATTCTTCTATAAAACACCTATCCTAACGCTTGAAACTCCAGAAATTCCTTAACCACACACTGCCCCTCTACAACTTGAAGCCACTCGCACCATTTGTGATCTGTGCGGCCTTGATCTTATTCCCCTCAACATCCTTGATGTCACCTCTCCTGCCAATGACCTTCACTCCGGCCTTCTTAAGCTCTTCAACCGTCTCTCTCTTCGCCTTCGCCTTCTTGCCCTCAGGTCTCGCGTTCTGAACCTCACCACCCCTCTTCTTAATCCTCTCCTTTTCGCGTCTACGCCTCCTGAGCTTCTCTACCCTCGTCATCTCCTGTCTGGCGATAGGAGCACCGCTCTTCGGCACAATTTCTCCCTTGTCCACTGAATTCTTATCCTTGCCAGCCTTGTAGATCTCCTGAGGTGCCAGCATGCTGTCAGCGCCAGTAATGCCGCTTGCCATCGTAGGCTGTGCGTCCTCCATGTTAACGGTCGCCACATCAGCGACGACAGTCAGGCTTGGTGCAGGAGGCTTGGGCTTGTAATGCCAGCTGCTGAGTGCATCCAATTTGCCGCAAACATCCTTCCAGAGCCCTTCAATTTCGAGATGTTGCTTCTTCAGCTTGTCATCGGCCTTGCTCATATATGTGTCAGGGTTGTTGTCCTTGACGTGCTCTTCTTCGTACATCTCAGCAAGACTTTGCTGGGCTTTGGTGTCTTCGAGCTCGAAAGCGCCACGGCGAGCATTGTCAGGAACCGAGTCGGAGTCGGGACGACGGCGGATGACCTCGTCAAACTCTTGGGCGATGATACGGCGCTTGATGAGTTCCTCAATGCTTTCACTGACTTCTGCAGTGATAACTGGCACTGGCTTGCCGGTTCGTTCAAAGTCTAGGTCCTGTTCCAGAAGGGAGTTCTGGGGGCGGTCGGCAGCTCTTGCTTCACCCGACAAAGTCCACTCTCGCTTTTGCACAGATGCTGCTTCAAGGCGACGGATCTCTTCAGCGAGTTTTGCTTGACGGCGCTCGTGAGCGGACCTTCTCGACTTGGGATCGGCTGCATCAACATCCGAAAGATCATCCTCAGTACGATCTTCTTCTTCATCGTCGAAAAGGTCGCGTCGAACGTCAGCCATCGCCCGCTCAACATCCTGCTCATCGTCTGCCGGGGGAGCTTTTGCCTTCTTCTCTTGTCTTGCAAGATATGAAGCTTGCTTTTCGGCTTTGGTAACTTTGCGTGCTGGAGGCTGGAAGAAGTCCTTGTACAGAATGTCGTTGGTGTTATCTCCTGGGGCATCGACGGGATTCTCCATGTGCTCATCTTCTTCCTCGTCGCTGTCGCCTTCAGGGGCGTTCAGGTCCATGTTACCAAATGTCGGGCCATCCTCGTCCTCATTCTCATCTTCCTCCTCGCTTTCATCATCTGCTGCTGCCGATTTCTTGCTTTTCGTGCCCGCTCCGGCCACTGCAGTCATTGGGTCGGCATCCCAGTCGATTTCTTCTTCGTCGCTAGCCTCTCCGGTGTATGGATCCGCAGCAGTATCTTGCAATTCCAGGAACTCGGTTTGTTTGTTGAACTGGTCGATCGAGAAAAAGCCGTCGTTCAGGCCGTGAGGGTCCTCGACAAATTCTTCCTCCTCTCCATCATCCTCTGCATCCCCATCATCTTCATCCTCGAAGTCGTCCTCGCCATCCATCATGGCCTCCATGTCCTCTTCGTCTTCATCGTCGTCAACGCCCTCCTCCATGGCACCCATCTCCTCCTCTTGGTCCTCTGCACTATCACCCTCGCTTCCGATCTCAAGTCCGTCTTCGCCGAATTCCATCCCCTCCAACTCACTATCACCTTGACCTTCTTCGCCATCTTCACTCTCACTTTCATCACCCTCACTGGGCGCCAGCTCATCCAAGTCCCTCTCCACATCTCCTCTCAAAGCATCAATAACTCTCCTCGCCTGCTCCCACACCTGCTCCACAGCAAATCCCTGTGTATGTACCTTCCTAATCTTCAGCAGCTCCCCGCCATCTGCAGCCTCGCCCCTCTTCCTCTTCCGATCCTTCCTCTCCTCCTCCACCCTCTTGTTCTGCTCATCATACAGCTGCGCTGCAAACCCATCCAAAGTCGTCTTCGCCAAATCCAAAGCCCCCTCGCAGATTTCCTTCTCGGGCGCTATGAACTTGTACCGATTCTCCGGCTGCAGCGCCTGGAGAAGAGATTTCGCGTACGCGGAATACGACGAGTTGGGACCGCCCAGTTTCTGGTTCGTGAGTTCGGCAGTCATCGTGTGTGATGTCGAAGTCATGGACGAGGCCGTGCTGCCGGAGACCTGTGCCATGGTCTTGTACAGTGCTGTTGCGACAGGAAAGGGAAGATTTTGGATTTATTTGCAGGGACCAATTGAAAGGTATTTTCGGGCGGCCGCTAAGTCGATAAGCTTCTTATCGCCCAAGTCTTCCTAAAATTAATTTATTATACGGTCACGTGCTCAGCCTGAATATTGTGTTGAGTAAATTTTCTTTTCCCTTCGAGGCCTCTAGCCGTAAGGGCAGAGTTTTTCTGTGGTTCTACCTGTGGTCGCTTACTGTAGCCCCTGTATATTATAACACACCCCCCCAGGTGTTACAGTTTATATAAATAATAATAATAATAGTAACTTAAAAGAAAAGACTAATTCTTCGGTGTTGTGGTGGAACTTTGGTGTTCCTCGGGTTTTTGTGTTGTATGTGTACCGGTCGGGTTTTGTAAGGTGTCATCTACAGTAGACGACTAATGTCGACCAAGTTGAGATGCTTGATGAAATCTTCATGCTTCTGTCGAGAGAGTGCTTTTGTAAATCCATCAGCAGGCATTTCATGTGTCGTGATCCAGTTGATATGAATCTTCTGGTGTTCAACTTCTTGTCGTAGCCAGTGGGAGTGCACGTCGATGTGCTTCAGCTTCGTGACGAGCTTGGGCGATTCCTTGAGTAGGAGCCGTACAGTTTGCAGGTTGTCACATTGTAGGGTATATTCTTCGTGCAGTTCCAATTTTATCATAGAGAAGAATCGCTGCCACCAGTACAGTTGTTTTGCGCAGTGAGAGAGCGCAAGGAGCTCAGCTTCTGTTGTCGAAGTTGACACAGTTTTCTGCTTTGTGCATCGCCAGTCAATGGCGCCGCCAAAGAGTGTAAACAGATAGCCTTCTGTGCTTCGTCTTGTTTCCTCACAATCTGCATATGAGGCATCACTTGAACATTGGAAGCGTGGTTCGTCAATGTTTGGTCCATATTGAAGTGCATAATTCTTCGTGCCTTGCAAATAGAGCAAGAGCCGGTCGGCTGCAGCATGGTGGTCTGGTCCGGGGTTGATGAGAAACTCTGCTAGTTTTTGTGTTGTGCGGGCTATGTCAGGTCTAGTCACGACTGCGGCATAGTTCACTGATCCAATCTTCCGTTGATAGAGATGAATCTCTTGTTTTGTTGCTTGCCCATTGTATGGGGTAAGTTCGACTGTGATCATTGGTGTCCGCGGCATCCTTGTTTGTGTGACCTTGTAAGATGCAATAATCTTTTCAATATATGAATCTTGACACATCCAAAGTTTGCGCTGAGTGCGGTCTCGTACAATTCTAATTCCGAGGAACCAATTTAGTTCCCCTATTTCCCGGAACTCGTATGCCTCCATGAGTTTTGTATGGAAGTCTATTGCTTCACGCTTATGTCTTGGGTGGCTGAGGATACAGATGTCGTCGACATAAAAGAAGACTATTATGGTGTCGGACACGAACAGACACTGTGCTTCAGGAACTTGTGTGAGACCTAGAGATGTTAACGTCTCTGAGAAGTCACGAAACCAAAGTAGTGGTGACTGTCGTAATCCGTAAAGGGCGCGGTTGAGTTTCCAGCACATCCCTTGTTCTTTATATCCATCTGCGCAGCGCACATACACTTCTTCGTCAATGCGACTATTTGTGAATGCATTGATCGCATCCATTTGATCAGTGTCGAGGTCGAAGTAGGCTGTGATTGCCATGAGTGCACGGAAAGTCCGCGATGCTAGTGTCGCTGCATATGTTTCATCGTGGATAGAGTATCGCTGTAGATCTCCTCTCACGACAAGTCGAGCCTTGTATTTTACAAGGAAGCCACTATTGTCAAACTTGTATGTAAATACCCACATAAGAGGTATTACAAATGCATGTGTTTGTTCATCTCGAACAGATGTAAAGGTACCCTGTCTTCGAAGGTCATTTATTTCCTTCTCAGCTGCTGTTTTGAAGCCGATTGTAACGCTGACTTCTAAACGATAGAAGACACAGAGGTTCTCTTGCGTAAAGGTTTACTTATCAGAGGAGGCAGGGGATCAGACACAAAGGCTTCAAGTAACACGTTACTAGTATATAACAAATACTGTATTGAGTTGAGCACGAAGCTCCTATCTAAGGAAATACTATCTACTTATATAGTGGCGTCGTGCCTAGTGGACTCTTGGGAACTCACTCGAGTCCTCGGAGTCCTGGACTCTTAGGACTCTTCTCATCATCCTGCGAGTCCATCACGTGCCTAGTGGACTCCTGGGAACTCACTCGAGTCCTCGGAGTCCTGGACTCTTAGGACTCTTCTCATCATCCTGCGAGTCCGTCACGTGATACTTTCAGAACTACTATTCCCCGCTGCCCCTCCAGGTACCAGGGCCGGTCTCATGCGACCTCCCTCCTTCCTGTCCTGTAGTTGGCCAGCCTTCTTGTTCCGTCGTAACACTCGCTCCCTTCCCCTGGGCATTCGTCTCGAATCCTATAAGTACGTCCATGCCCCCGGGACTCTGCTGCTCCTCAGCGAGTCCTTCAACATGCAACATGCCTACTGACACTGCCCGCAAACTCCAGGAACGCAACGATCTTGTCCGTCGAATAAAGAACCACGGATACGAACTACCCGAAATGGATTCTTGCTCGAACTGCGTGAGGCGAAACATTACTTGCGTGTCGTCTCCAAATGATTCACGGCGGTGCGCCGAGTGCGTTCGTCGCAACTTGAAAGAAAAGTGTGACTGTATGGGTCCTGAGCATCCCGACTGGGTGAAGCTCGAACGGGAGGAGGATCGCCTGGATCGCGAAGAGGAAGAACATTCACAATCACAAAGTAAGAGCACGACATTCAGCTTAAACAGTGAGTTACTAGCAAACGTTTACTAGCTACTATCTAGCATCATTCGGACTGGGTATGGCGCGCAACGGTGGGTGAGGTGAAAAAAAGCTAGAATACTCCCAATTAGAATAATATACCAGTTCCTCGGGCAACTTCAGACCTTCGTTTCCAAAGTGAACCTAGGTTACGTTAGTATTATTTCCACTTCTGCACATCAGGTGGCAAAACCACGCCGACAAGGCCACGTACCATCCGCCGCACTCTGCTCTGGCATCGCGGCTACTCTCTCGGCATCCCAGCACTTGGCCACCCAGCATGTAACGAGCAAGTCCCTAATCCTAGCTTTGGCGTCTTCACTATTATCATCACCGCCTGCTCTCCCCCTTCCCTCTCCCACCAGCTCCAAAACCTGTGGCTTCCACGCGACGTTTTGGCCCTGAGTCCTCTTCTCATGCTCCTTCTCCATTGCCTTTCTCTTCTTCCTCCGCATACAAATTCCTTCGGGCTCGCGACCTACGGTCCGCCCTAGGCCATCTATCCACTCCTCGCCTTTTCCCCGCATCAGCAACTCTCCTGTTTTCTCCACCGTGCAGTCCCAGTACGGGCCTTTGATTAGGTTTGCATGATATCTTAGAGTCAAGGTCCCTGGGAATGTGCTCCGACGCTTCCCTTCAATGGTAAAGCAGGAATTCAAAATAGGATCGCGGCGGATGTTATAGAGATCCTTATCGGTGACTTCAGACCGCTGACTCCCATCTGCCCGCATAACGGCGGGGACGGAGCGTCGGACAGTATTCGATGTGCCGTTGGCAGATAGCGCAAAGGTCAGAGAATAAAGAGCTTGAGACGGAGGAGGGGGAAAGATGAGATCGCGGTCAAGTGAGAGGAATCCAGGGGCTCTCTGTGCAGCTTCAGCCGTCGCCTGGAGATCAGCGAGTTCGGCGGGGGTTTGTTGAGGGGGGAGGCTCGATTGCCGTCGTTCGGTGGGATGGGTAGGCGAGGCAGGCAGGGTTTGATGGCTGGGTTGAGTCGCGGGTTGAGGTGGCGTGGACAGACTGATACCCGAGGCAGCTTCTGGAGGAGGTGAGTGTTCCAATAATTGCCTATAGGGGTTGTTTGAGCTGAGAGGTCGTGGCTTGGGAGTTTCTGAGGTGGCTTGGTGTATTGAGGGAGAGGACGCTGGCTCAAAGCGTTCATCGAGTGTGTAGTCGCTGTAGGAGGGGGCAGAGTCAGACCATGATGGCGGGTTACGGCTCGAAGGGTTGAGCATGGAAGTTATATATCGCGACATCTCTTAAGAGTCGTACGGAAACCGTGGTCTCGCTCGAGAGTATTCGTCTTGTTGATGGCCTCCCGGTGATGGGTTGCCCATGGAATACCGTGGGTTTGGAGCAATTCTCTATCAATGTTAATAAGAGTAGGTATAGAATGGGAGAGATAGATTATGCCGGTAATGACAGAAAGAATAGTACAACAATAATTCTATAAAAAGCAATACCTATTAAGTATCGCAGATCATACTCGCATATGGTTGTCATCGATATGTAATGTGGCGAAGGAGCGTTGCTGACGTCTGACGTCAGGTGTAACCTCGTAGTTCATTGCAGTCAACGCCAACACGAAATATGAGAATTGACAAACCTCAATAGAAGTGAGATAAACTGAATACATTTCGGGAGTTGTAATGTACCGAAACACCCTGATTGAACGGCGGATCTTCATATGTGTGCTGTGAATGCGTCTGCCTTTAATTATTCTTCAACAACATTCGCCTCGAAGCAATATTTAGGCGAAGTATTTCACGGGAGATGTGCTGGCCATAGTGAAAAAGCTTCAAGTACATGGTATATAAAGACGCCTTCTACCACAAAATGCTTTTGTCTGAACTCCAATCCCCAACCGCTGGACCGTCGCTTACTCTACAATTTTCCCCTTGTTCACAACAAATGCCTCAATCGCAGCAATTGCAGCGTACAGCCTGTTCTCCGCCTCTGGGAAAACGAGACTCCTCGGGCTGTAGAAAACCTCGTCCGCAACCTCCTCCGGGTGCCTGGGCAGGCAATGCATGAACTTCCAGCCATCATTTGCGCCTCCGCGTTTCGCGAGGTCGTTTGTGATTTGATATCCAGCGAAGGCCTCCAGGCGCTTCTTATATTCCTCCTCCTGACCCATCGAGACCCAGGTGTCTGTCACAAGGATGTCGGCGTCCTTGATAGCTTCCTCTGGCACGCTTGTTTCGGTTAGTTTGCCCGGGTTTGAGACTCCGTTTGCGGAGGCGAGGATGAACTCCTTCATTCGTGGTGGGATTGTGAAGCCCTTGGGCGAAGCTACAGAGATATCAACTCCCAACTTAACAGAGGCGATGGCTAAGTCGAAGAGAACATTATTTGAGTCGCCAATCCACGCAATCTTGAGGCCCTCTAGCCCGAGAGAAGGGTTTGTGAGGGAACCTTTGACTGATGATGTGGGAGGGAATGCTTCGTGGATTGTGAGGAAGTCGGCGATGGTTTGGAGAGGGTGGTAGTCGTTTGTGAGAGCGTTGATGACGGGAACAGAGGAGTGCTTTGCGAGATCGGCGACTTCGCTGTGCTCGCCGGCGCGGACCACCATGCAGGAGGTCATGGAGGAGATCACGACGGATGTGTCATAGAGAGACTCGTTAACCTAAAGCCATGGCGTTAAGAATCTTCAGAGTAAAAGGGGATGGAGAGGAGTTGACTCACGCCAAGTTGAATATCGTCTTTGCCCAAGAACATCGGGTGGCCGCCCATGGTGACTACTGCAGCTTCGGTTGAGACTCGAGTCCTCGTACTTCGCTTGTTGAACATCATCGCTACGGTCTTGCCATTGAGAGATTCTTGAATTTTTTTGGGCACGAGACCCTTCTTGATATTGGTCTTGTGTGTCTTGGCACTCCTCACGAGGGTAACCAGCTCGGCCGGAGTGAGGTCTGCAATGGACAGAAAGTGACGAGGGGCGAAAGGAGAAACGGCGGGGTCCGCGGGACTGGCAGGGCCTGAGTAAGTTCGCAATTGTGGTTTTGATAAACACCGGAGCGTAGTCCTGGCGGGACGAAGAGTCATACTGGCCATGTTGAAGCTAGAATTAAGACGTCAATTGAGAACTTGGATGAAGAAGGAGAAGAAAATAAGAAATAGAATACTGACATTGAACTCTTAATGCTTTTGTATCGCAATATTAGTGAATGTGCCTCAATTCTTGCGAGAATCAACAAAATAGTCGTGGTTGTAGTTGAATGAACATGGATGTTGCGGATGAGTACAACTATTCGGGTATAATCTGAATTCCGGTGTCGGTCACTGGACGGTCGGCGAATCTTGTTCCGGCTTCCGGGACAGTGCCTGCTAGCGTCCGCGTTCGCTCTTATCGAAAGTGGTTCCTTATCGATAAGTGGCGGATCTTTAGTGGCCACCACACGCACGGCCGGATGGCGTTTCCAAACACAGTGCATGTACTCCGTACTCTGTTGCATCATCAACGTCCTCACCCTCAACACACCAAACACCTACTCTAATCATCAATATCACAAGTAACGGCGTTGACGAGCATATATATACTGAAGTAGCTTTTTCAACACTATTGCTACACACAGAATGAGCGCATAAGATACACCAAAGGGCTTACAAAGACAACCGGAACGATGCCGGCGGACGACTCATCCCGGCCGCTGTTGGGCGACTCCGAAGAGGTGGCCAATAGAGCATCGGAAGAGCGTCGCGGGGAGGATGGAGAGAACGCACCACTGCTCTCACATCGATACGGAACTCCACGATATGATGGAGAGGAAGGCCTTGCGCCTCTGTCACCGGCGTCGACGTCATTGCGGCAGATACAGAGCAGTGATTCCAGCGCCTCGGCGACGAAGGGCAAATCATGGGCGACTATCACAGCTATCACCGGCCTTTCTGTGTCGATTTTGCTCATCATTTCAGTGCTATTTTTTGCACCAGCTGCTGTCGAAGAGTACAGCAAGCAGTCAATGGTTATCGATCCAACCGGCCTGTCCATCGACTCGTTCACAAGCACTGGGGTGCGAGCCCGAGTGCAAGCAGATTTCCAGCTCGATGCAGCCAAATGCAAGAACCCTGCCATCCGAACCCTTGGGCGCCTTGCAACCTACATCGCCCACACGGTCGAGAGCGAAGAGACAGAAGTGAAAGTCTATCTCCCGGAGTATGACAACCTACTTATTGGCACCGCAACCGTTCCAAAGGCACACGCCAGCATACGCAACGGCGAGGTCACGCATCTGGATTTCTTGACAGACGTTAAACCTGCCGAAACCGCCGACCTCCAGCGTATTGTCAATGACTGGCTTTCTGGACGGATGACACAATTGACGGTGAGGGGCATGATTGATGTTCCACTTAAGTCTGGCTTCTTCCGTCTCGGGAACAAAACCATATCTCCAACAATCATCCTTGAAGGTTAGTTTCCCTCTTTGAATACTTATGAATACGTTGGCTAACCTCCCTAGGCCACAATATCCCTAATATCCCGTCCTATAACATAACCCACATCAATATTGAAGAAACGAATCTGATGCAAGCACTCAGTCGCAAAGCCATAATTAAGCGGGGCATGAGGGCAGATGCCACTCTTGTTGTTGACAACCACTATCCGATCAGCTTGTCAATCCCACCTCTTCAGTTTGACATCTTAGTTCAGAACTGCGATATGGTCGACCCATATATTATGCTTGCGGAGGCGTCGACGGATAGGGTCGATGTTCAACCAGAATCATATATCGAAGTCCAAGCTGGAGGCATCATACAGGAGCTCCCAAGTTCTTTAACAAAACCGTGCCCTAGCACTGCACTGTCACCGTTAGACGTGCTAGTGGGAGAGTATATGCACGGCAAAGACGCCACCATATATGTAAAGGGATCCAAAAACCCATCTCCAGAAACGCCGACTTGGATATCCGATTTGATTGCAGCTATTACGGTGCCGGTTCCGTTCCCAGGCCGAAATTTCGATGGACTGGTCAAGAATTTCACATTCGCGGATGTACATTTTGGACTGCCTGACCCATTTGCGGATCCGCGCAGCCCCGAATCAAATCCTCAAATATCTGGCACTATCGTAGTCATGGCCAATCTACCGAAAGAGGTCAACTTTGCAATCAATGTCACCAACGTCCGACCAACAGCGGATATTTTCTACAAAGACAAGAAACTCGGTGTCATGGATCTGAAGGAGTGGCAGAAAGCACAATCCGAGAGAATTGATGCAACGGACGACGAAGATGCACTCCTAAAGATCCAGTCCAAGATCAAGGATGCCCCTATAAATATTACCGACCAACGAGTTTTCCAAGATGTGGCACAGAAAATCCTTTTTGAAGAAGGCGTGACATTGGAAGTTAGAGCACTCGTGGATGTTGAGGCCGAAACTGTGCTGGGGTCTTTAGTCGTTCGGGAACTTCCTGGGTAAGCAGAACCACCATCAACTATCAAGGAAATACTAACATTTTACAGAGAAGGATCTGTCCCGGTAAAGGGTGGGATGTTCTTTGGCGAAGATGCCTAGACAAGCCCGAGGCTGACGAAATCGCAGCTCCCGGAAATGGCGGCCTGAAAGTCGTCCTAGGGGGTATAAACCCCCAAGTATTCGACTTAAAAATCCTCGACACCGGCAAGACCTCTTTGACTCTGGAAGGCAAGGTCAACTTTACAAACCCCACGAATTACACTGCCACAATCCCGTCATTCAACATCCATATTTTGAGCAACGACTCTGTTATCGGACTAGCTACGGTGTCAAACGCCGAGGTCGCCTTGGGAAACAACACAAACCTTGCTGTGCGAGTCTTGTGGGATCCCGCCACCTTTGGAGATGCCAAGTCCTCAACAAACGCACGCAACCTGATTTCTCAGTACATCTCCGGCTGGAACACAACCATCACATTCCAAACATACGACGGCAGTATCCCATTACAACCAGCCCTTGGTGAAAGCCTGTCCAAATTCCCCATCGAGATGGAAATTCCCCGTCTATCTTCTCCCCACAATGGCTCTGGCGACGACGACGACGACGAAGATACACCTGACCATCTACGATTCATCGAAGGCGCTACATTCCACATCTTCTCCTCCTCAGCTTCTTTCGCCGTCTTCTCCCCGCTCAAGGAAACCCATGTGTTCATCGAAACCATCAACGCCACAGCATTCTATAACCACACCGAACCAGTCGGCACGATTGTATATGACCTGCCCCTCGAGATCCCCCCCGGACTCAGCGAGACCGACAGGCTGCCTGTGGATTGGGATCCGGAATCCATAGGCTACGACCGTATCCGTGGGGCGCTTGGTGGAGGACTGAGGCTGTCGGCGAAGGCGGAGGTGGGGGTTCGGCTGGGGAAGTGGAAGGAGAAGTTGTGGTTTGAGGGAGAGGGGATTGGGGCGAAAGTGAGATTGTAGATAGGGTAGGACCGTGTTTGAATACGATGGCGCGTTTGGGAGGGAATTTTGTATAGAGGCGTATTAGGCATTGGGTCCCTGAAAGGTGCTGTTGTAGGGTTATGTTTAGAAGCGTTGGACTTCCGTCCTGAATTATAAGTTTTATCACTCTAGCATTTCACGTGAACCTCGATATAAGAGTGTCATCGAGACCCATAACCAGTAAGAATAACAAGAGAATTCCAGTGTAGGTATCGTATCGGTTCACGTAAAAATATGAGGCCGACAATCGATCTTTATGAGTCAGATACCAAACGTAGAGCATTCTTGCATGGAGATTCTACTGTATATTCACACCATTTGTGGCGATATTCAAGGTGTAGTTAAAACAGACAGTTTAAGATAATTCAAGTAGTATGACAGATCAATTGAACATTATAATCCGAGACAAGCTGCCTATCCCATACCTAATGAGCTATGATACCGACCATTTTTAGTTGGATTTCAATTTGTCTAAATACAAGAGCTCCAACAACCACACAACCCACCTCCCGTACAATTCCCATAACATTGCCTAGCTACCGCCGAACAAACGAAGAATGACGCCGACTCCTTTTCACAATTCTCTGGGGCGAAACATTTATCCTGGTGGGAGCGAGCTGGCGTCGACGATCTCGTCCGCCTCCTTTAGATCGTCCTGGTGGGCGTCGAAGAGCGGGGAGCGCGGGAGCGCCATGAGTCCGGTGCGAGTAGACTCGAGGATGCCGAAAGGGGAGACGAGCTTCATGAATGAGTTGATACGGGTGGGTTTCGCGGAGCTAGAGAGGTGTGAGTAACATTACATCGCCAGCCATGAAATGGGTAGAGGAAGTACTTACAGCTCGACAATACAGTTGGTGTTGCTGATATCCAACACCTTGCCGCCGAACTGGTGGACAAAGTAGGTGATGGACTTGAGATGCTCATGCTTCAATCGCAGCGCCTGGCTGAGCACGAGTTTGCTGGGGTGGAAGTCGGCTACCGCGCTGTGCTCCAGGCCGTGGTCTCCGAACTCGCCATCAACTTCTGCCGTGATCTCGCGGTGGTGCGCGAGCAGCTCCTCAAAGTACTCTGGGCCGAGGATGTTGATCTTTGCGAGCAGCAGCTCGCGTTGCACAAGTGGTGCCTGGGTGTAATCTAGGACGGCCCAGACGGGGACGAGGTCCTCGAGCTGGCGGCGGGCCTGCTCGACAACGCCATCTTGGCCGGATAGCACAATTGTCATGCGGGACAAGTCCTCGACCTCGGTGTGACACACGACAAGACTGTCGATGTTGAAGCCGCGGGCAGCGAGAATCCCGGAGACGCGGGAGAGCACTCCTGGCTCATTCTGAACCAGGCAGTTGAGGATGTGGCGTGTTGGAGGTGCTTTTGAGGGAGCAGGAGTCTCGTAGAGGATGTTGGAGACGGCAGCCTGGGCAGACCATGCTGGAGAATCCTGTGTTGGGAGGGGGGTGATGCGGCGGTGAAGGGCCTTGTATGCAAGGGCTGAGGTCGATGATGAGGTCGACTGAGACCGCCTCGCCGTAGTGACCAGGGAGCTCGTAGGAGTGCGAAGCTTGAGGATGGAAGTGCGAGCTGCCATGGCGACGACAACACCCAAACTGGGGATTTCAATTGACGTCGCTGAGGCAGTTGTGGATGAAGTCGTAAAGACTTCTTTTATGTGCGAGTCAACACCACCGCAATTGGAATTCGCGAGGTTGAAGAAGCCAGAGCTAGGCTTTGTCGAAAATTGTCCCCGATGTCGCTAAGGGCCGTGTGCCTTGACCATCACTGTGGAGCTAGCGATGAGTAAGGCTGCCAGGCCCGGTCGCAAAATAAAGAGGCTGAAAGGGCCATACGAAGGTCAAAGTAGAGCCATACGTGACATTAATTTGTTGCCAACGAATGCTGTTAACTTGAGTATAACTTCATCATTTGAAGTATTCGCCTTTATTTTGCCGGCGAGGTCAGAGGCGATAGAAAAACTACCTGTTACAGCTTCTTTGCACTCGACAGGAAAGTCTGCGACCGACCTTCGATTTATCTTGCCACCTCGGCCATCATGGACGACACCGAGAGGAGGACGGCCAAGAGGTCACGCTTCGACCAGAAAGAGCCAGCACCACGGGCTTCACGCTTCGATCGCCGCTCAAGATCCCCCCCGCCAGCCCGAGAGAGGGATTCCCGGAGGAGCAGGAGTCCCTTGAGGAGGGAGAGCAGGAGCCCAGCTGCTGGGGAACCTGCGAAGAAACCATCCTTGGATCCTGCTGCTGCTGCGGGTATGTTTCACAGTCAAATTGAACCAAGACACAACTAACATCTGATAGCTGCCGTCGCATCGCGCATTCAAGCCCAGATGCAGGCCAAAAAAGGTATCCAACATGTCGACGTTCCTCCGATTCGATCTACTGGCAGTCCCGCCGATGTGAAACCTCCGACCCCGAGCACAGCTATGGAAACAGGCACCATCGGAACAGTCAATGGCGACATGTACATCGCAGATGGAGATTACATCCGTGACATCGAAGTCAATGACCTTCGAAACAGATACACACTGACCAAAGGCTCTACTCAAAAGATGGTGAATACCCCCCTTGTGTCATACCCACTGATATCCCCAGTTCCCTCAGATCTCATAATTCATAATCTTTCTTCCCCCCGGGGAGTTCCATACCCCTCTCTTACCTTGTGTGGGACCTGTCAAGCTTACTTGAAGCGCGATAGAACTCATATAAACCTCTGTGGCACCTGCTGACGTCCGGTGCGTGATATAGATCAAAGAAGAAACCGGCGCTGGTACGCTATTCCCGAAATTACGCTTTTGTAGATATGATATTGACTTTTAAAGATATCACGACACGCGGAGAGTACTACCCCGATAAGAGCATGGCCACAGCAGCGGTACGAAATACCATGATAGAAGGATGGACTGATTACTGATATTCCCTTAGAAGCCACCACTTTACCTACACGTTACGAGCACGAGCAAGGTTGGCCTTGAGCAAGCCGTCGAAAAGATTGAGGAGCTTATGAAGCAAGAACTGCCCAACCTCATTGACGAGAGGCGCTTCAGACGGCGAGAACCAGATGCTGTTGAGCGTGATGAATTCGGCAGAGTAGGTATATGTCATACTTTACGGAGATAACTGCTAACACTGTGTAGCGCAAATGGCCAGAGGAGAAAATCCCCATCGACTTCGAACCTGTACCAGGCTTTAATCTGAGAGCTCAAGTCGTAGGTCAGGGGGGCGCCTATGTCAAGCATATCCAACAGGAAACCCGCTGCCGTGTGCAAATCAAGGGCCGTGGTTCTGGATTCATGGAACATGCGACAGGACGGGAGAGCGACGAAGACATGTACCTGCACGTTGCTGGCCCGGATCCCAAGGAGGTACAGCACGCTAAAGAGCTTTGCGAGGATCTCCTGGCCAACGTAAGAGAGCAATACGTGGAGTTCAAGTCAAGGCCACAGCCCCAGCGCGGGTTTGGTGGAGACAGAGCTCCAAGTACCGGGTATGGAGGTCAGAGCGGATATGGAGACAGGCAAACCCCCGGTAGACACGACTCATACGGTGGTGGTGGTGGCGGCGGTGGAGGATATGGTGGATACAATTCCCCAGCAGCTGCTGCCCCGGCTGCCCCATCAGCCCCATCTGGAGCTGCCAGCCCTGCTGCCGGAGCGGACTACGCCGCTCAGTATGCCCAGTACTATGGCGGCCAAGATCCGTATGCGGCTTATGGTGGCTATGCTGCGTATGTCGCATACTACCAGTATTACGCCGCCCAACAAGCTGGAGCTGGCGGTGCTCCTGGTGCAGCGCCTGGCGCGGCACCAGGCGCGGCCCCGGGCGCTTCTCCAGCCTCTTATGCACCTCCACCACCCCCGAGCGAGGCCCCCCCACCACCTCCAGGGTCTGGACCACCCTCAGGACCACCACCTGGAAATGGCTACAATGCGGTATAGTATTCCCGAACCTCCTCGACCATAAGCAGCCCTAATGGTGAATTAGGTCCCTCCCCCACCAGGATTGTAAGACTGATGGTAGCTGAATGAAGCCGACCGCCCGTTGAACCAATCATTACTTCTCACGTCATCACAGGAAATGGACCGTTTATGGTACTGACGGGGTTGACAAATAGAGCGGCTATATGGTACCACGTAGCATTGTAATACTGATAGAGGCGTGGCGTCCAAATTGAAAAGATGATGAGCTGAGACCAAGGGTTCGAAGTGCTTCTACTATTGCTATTTTGGATGCCGACTAGTAAGTCAGACACCTGGCTATCTGCGTCTGACACAAATCCATTGACTATGCCTGACCGTGACGTCTCGAGTTCCCGACAGGGCGTGATATATCCTGTGCAAGAGACATTCAAGACGAGACCATGAATGCCCGAAAGAATGCCACTGAATGATACGGACACGCTTGGCTACGAGTGCGTTCGCTGAATCCGGCCTGACGCATGGACTCCTGCGCAAGCGTCCATTTGGACTAAAACAAAACAATGGGGCTAGATCTAGCATCCCCTGCCAAATGTGTTTTATTTCGAGTACGAAACGTTCGTGTTTGCAAGGTTTCTAGAACAAATCCAGGGATCGGAATTTGGACCCTGGACGCTATGGCGGTATTTTTTTGCGCGACACGACAGCAGGCAGGGGGAACAAAGGTGGGACAAAAGATGCCCCTGTGGTGATTTTCTGGATTTGTGGAAGAGCACAGAAAATGTTGTGTGCGGGGGCAAAACGGCCTTCTGATCCATCATCTTATGTATGACACCCTTTCCCTTGATCTAAAATGTTTCATACTATACTCGACCTTGGCCATTAGCGGCCACTTTATCTATGTAGTTTGTTCCATCATAAGGAAGATAGATCTTGGACAGACTTGGTAGTTAATCGTCGTGACCAACTTTTCGCTTCGCTTAAGGTTGGAGTAAGCAATGTGAATGCGCCCGGGGCGAGAAGAAGCAATGTGCGCTCCGTCGCAACGTTGCGTCTGTTCACCGCCGCAGTCTAGTCCTAAATAGGTTAGTATTATAAGTAAAAATCCAACGTTGGAAAATGAAGTTGTAGATATATTATCTATACTATACTACATTATAAAAGGCCAAGACCGATTGATTGGCTATCATTTGTCAAAATTCGGGATTGGCTACGTTAGGTTCTAGCCCCACTTCCTACTTCTATAGGCTTAGCGCGTAGAGTTTTCCTGTAAACAATTTCCTGTCCGCTTATGCTTTGCTATGACTATTAATAAGTCTCAAGGCCAGTCGTTTAAGCATGTAGGTGTTGATCTACGGGCAGCTATGTTTAGTCATGGGCAGTTTTACGTTGCAATGTCACGGACGTCCTCCGTAGCTGGACTACAGGTCTACTTGTAATGGTGGGTGCACCAGATATGAGAATCTAGCCACCCAAGGAAGGGATGAATTTACTAAGACAACACACTGTCTTAGGAAACAGAGCCAAAGGGTTGTAGCTTAGACTATTCCACAACGCAGCAATTAGGTGTATGATGTGGTGAAGTGGTTTAGACAAGTTGCAACAAATGTTGAGTCTGAGAACTCAGGGGTAAGTCAGAGGTTAGCACCTCACTGACTTTTCAAAAACAGAGAATAACAAGATCAATGCTTGGAAGCTTGGAAAAGACGTAGAAGTATGTGCTAGTCGATTTACTGTATTGTCTGCTTGCCCTTTCTTAAGGAAAGGGCAATCCTATTTATGCCAAAGGAGTGTAGTTCTCTCATTTTCCATGACTTTCCATGACTAACCAGGCTTGGTAAATGTATTAGAAATTAAGTGCGACCCACAACTAGCTTGCTAATCATGTAGTGAACGTAAGAGAATCCCATAGAACCATCTCTTGGGTTCCTAGCCTATAGGAAGTGAAAAGGAGGTCCAAGGTCAGAGTACCTATAGATAAATTATGTCATAACTTAACCAATCTTGTGGGTAACTAAGGAGCGATGACGTGTAATGAATCATAGAGGGTTGTAGAAGCTTCTAGAGCTATCGTTCATGTTTCTAGGCCTCTAGTTGGTAGAGATATGCCATGTGGTAGTATTGGCCCACCCCCTTAAGGAGGAGATTTTCTTAATAACTTGTTCAATGAGTGTCCAAATGATATGCCGTGATGTATGTAGCATAAACAGATGTAGTAGAAGAGTTTGCAGCAATCGTTGAGTAGTATTGCTTCTGTTGTTGGTGTGATAAGCCAAGATATGTATGGTGACTTTGTCATACTGACATTCGTTGCACTCAGTTTGCTATCAAACTCAAGAGCAAACTTAGAAATCTCCTCCTCAAACCTACAAGTCACTATACATATTTTGGCTTGTCACACCAACAACAAGAGCAATACTACTCAACGATTGCTACCGTCATTGCTCCTTAGTTACTTGGCCGATATTACCACATAGCATATCTCTACAACCCTCTATGATTCATTACATGACATCACTCCTTAGTTACTGGGCTAATACTACACATGACATATCTCTATCAACTAGAGGCCTAGGAACATGAACGATAGCTCCAAAAGCTTCAACAACCCTCTATAATTCATTACACGTCATCGCTCCTTAGTTACCCACAAGATTGGTTAAGTTATGACATAATTTGTCTATAGGGGTACTCTGACCTTGGACCTCCTTTCACTTCCTATAGGCTAGGAACCTAGGAGATGGTTCTATGGGATTCTCTTACATCGACTACAGTTACCATGCCTGGTTAGTCATGGAAAGTCTTGGAAAATGAGAGAACTACACTCCTTTAGCATAAATAGGATTGCCCTTTCCTTAAGAAAGGGCAAGCAGACAGTACAGTAAATCGACATGACATACTTCCACGTCTTTTCCAAGCTTCCAAGCATTGACCTTGTTACTCCTTGTTTCTGAAAAGTCAGCGAGGTGCTAACCTCTGACTTATCCCTGAGTTCTCAGACTCAACATTTGTTACAACTTGTCTAAACCACTCCACTACATCATACACCTGATTGCTGCATTGTGGAATAGTCTAAGCTACGACCCTTTGGCTCTGGTTCCTAAGACAGTGTGTTGTCTTAGTAAAATCATCCCTTCCTTGGGTGGCTATATTCTCACATCTGGTGCACCCACCATTACAGCAGGGGCGACGGCAGCCAGATCTTCTATCCGAAGGTTAGTATACAGTAATCAATCAAACGAAACAAAGGAAAAGGAAGGAATTGAACTTACCAGTGGCTTTGAGGCCAGAAGCCTCGGTGGTGGGGGTGGTGGTGGTGGCCATCACGTTGTTGAAGAAGAAGGAAAGTGAGGTTGGTGGGGGGTGTCACGGTTCACCAAGGCATAGGGTGCCAGTTGGGTATTATGAATTAAACTCAATCTAGAGAAGAAAGGAAAGAGAAGAGGAGCACTCGAGCAGTGGCTCAATCTATATACAGCTATGTTGTTGTGGAGTGAAGTCTCTTTAGCAAGACCAGTTCTGAGAATTCACTCCACAACTGAAAACTTCGCTCCAACCCCGGAAAGCTCCCCACACCCCTGAACCCCCACTCGAGCTGCAAGGCGCACTTGATATCATAACAGGGGGTTGTGGAAATATTCGCGTTTGATGCATTGGGGTCACGTGACCAATGCCCAATCACGTGCTTTAGTGGCTTCACGGCAGGCTACTGTTGTAATAGTCACATGATCTCACGTGATCTCCGTACGGAGTATCGGTAAAGCCAAGTATAGGTTACATAGTCAGGAATACATACATTTATTACTCAACAGTTATGAGCCCGGAGCACATCGAGGTTGCATTTTGAACGTCTTCGAACATCGTACAGACCTCAAACCCCTCCTAGGAGTCGATCACCATCATAATGGCGACCCTACAGAAGGTGGGGGTGGTCCTCACCAACCCAAAAGACTGGGATGAGTGGCTAGAGACGATTAAGACAGCTTCAATGAAGACAGGAGTGTGGGGTTATATTAATCCAGCATTAGATGACCCCCCTATCCTCGTACCACCTGTTAGGCCAGTTCCTAACTTTGTACGGACTGCAGCTCAGGCCGGTAGTGGTGTGGTCCCTCAGACTACTCCATGGGTGTCAACAAGAGCAACATCAAGTCAGACAGCGCAACCATCAATCAAAGCCTCCCAACCAATCCTACCAATTACGTACGGATCTCTCACAGACGACCAGAAGGAAGAGCTTCGAAACCTACAAGCGGACTTCCAATATGATTGAAAAATATGGGAGGAACAGGAGGAAGCAATTCAGGGGCTATGGTCTAAGATCCAAGAAACTATTAGACAGGACTTCCTACCATACACATACAATTGTGATACTCCATACGAAATGCTAGTAAGGCTTAAGGAGCAGTTTGCACCAACTACACGAGCTAGGCTTGAGGAATGGAGGAGTGAGTGGGCAAAAGCATCCAAAATACAAAGAGGAGTAGACCTTGAAGAGTGGCTCCTAAAATGGGAGACCCTCTACACACAAGGCCGTACGCTCCGAGCACCAGAGGTTATCGACCATCACGATGCGATATATTACTTCCTCAAAGCAATAGGACCCTGCGAATTTCGAGGCCCATGGACATTCAAACTCAACAAAGGGACAAAGGAATATGAGTTTGAGGAGGTCGTACGGACCTATCGAATCAACCAGAGACAGGCAAGATATGACCAGAAGTCTCAGGGGGAACATGGAGTTTTCGCAACACAAGAAGGCAATAATGAGACATCTGCTACCCTTCAGAACTGTACGAACAACCTACAACAAGGACAACAGGGTTGGAATAACGGGAAGAAGAACAAGGAGCCCCGAACAGATTGCCCTTGTGGCTCTATCCATAAGTGGAGGGACTGCTTATATGTCATGAAGTCGAAGGGTACGAAGTCATGGAAGCCAAACCGAGACATTGAAGCTAAAGTTGATGCCTACATAAGTGAAAAGCCAGGCTTTCAATACTGCATTCAAAGGGCAATAGACCAGGACAAGGCGAACGGAGGACAACCCTGTACGAACCAGGATCTACCTGTTTCCTTTGCAACAGCCTTCCAAGTCACTCAAGGTCTTACCCTCTCAACCTATGAGCTTGCAAGGAGCACAATCCTTGATTCTGGAGCTACAATTCATGTCTGTAACGACCGTATGAGGTTCTACAACCTAAAGGAATGTGAGGACGGAAACTACCTCTTAGCTGGAGACCAGACAGTAAGGATTGAAGGGTTCAGGTCCGTGGACATCAAAGTCCAGGTTGGAGAGGACACAAAGTCCGTACGAACCATAATGTAATGGTGGGTGCACCAGATGTGAGAATCTAGCCACCCAAGGAAGGGATGAATTTACTAAGACAACACACTGTCTTAGAAAACAGAGCCAAAGGGTCGTAGCTTAGACTATTCCACAACGCAGCAATCAGGTGTGTGATGTAGTGAAGTGGTTCAGACAAGTTGCAACAAATGTTGAGTCTGGGAACTCAGGGGTAAGTCAGAGGTTAACACCTCACTGACTTTTCAGAAACAAGGAGTAACAAGATGAATGCTTGGAAGCTTGGAAAAGACGTGGAAGTATGTGATAGTCGATTTACTGTATTGTCTGCTTGCCCTTTCTTAAGGAAAGGGCAATCCTATTTATGCTAAAGGAGTGTAGTTCTCTCATTTTCCAAGACTTTCCATGACTTACCAGGCTTGGTAACTGTAGTCGACGTAAGAGAATCCCATAGAACCATCTCTTAGGTTCGTAGCCTATAGGAAGTAAAAGGAGGTCCAAGGTCAGAGTACCCCTATAGACAAATTATGTCATAGACAAATTATGTCATGACTTAACCAATCTTGTGGGTAACTAAAGAGCGATGACATGTAATGAATCATAGAGGTTCGTAGGAGCTTTTAGAGCTATCGTTCATGCTCCTAGGCCTCTAGTTGGTAGAGATATGTCATGTGGTAGTATGAGTGATGTCATGTAATGAATCATAGAGGGTTGTAGAGATATGCTATGTGGTAATATTGGCCCAGTAACTAAGGAGCGATGACGTGTAATGAATCATAGATGGTTGTAGCAATCGTTGAGTAGTATTGCTCTTGTTGTTGGTGTGATAAGCCAAAATATGTATAGTGACTTGTAGGTTTGAGGAGGAGATTTCCAAGTTTGCTCTTGAGTTTGATAGCAAACTGAGTGCAACGAATGTCAGTATGACACATAACACTCCAAGAAACAGCCCTCGTTTCCTCATTCCACACCTCTGTTGCATCCTTAAAACGATTCATCCAAAAGGGAGTCCATTGGAATACAGCTACAGAAGGACTCACGTATGAAGGAAAGCCGTTCTGCAACACTCCAGTTATCCATGGACAATGGGTCCTTGAATATATTAATAATGACAATACAAAAGTCCTTCAAAACACAGCCCTATCAATGACTCAAGTGCACCAAGATGCTGTTCTATCCTCTTTCGGACCTCGCAAAGACCTAACAGGCACTGCAAAGGAGTGGCATAATCGAATGGGCCACCTTAATCAAAACGCAATAAGGAAGCTCCAAGAGAAGACCCAAGGGGTTATTGTCACAGACATGGATTCGTACGACACTAACTGCAAAGTCTGCCGCCTTACCCATGCTACAAAAAGGATCTCCCGAAGATCTACACCACGGTCACAGATCCCTTATGAGAAGGTGCACCTAGACCTTATCCAGATGCCAGAGGCGTACGATGGTAGCACACAGGCCCTACACTTACAGTGTGATTTCTGCCGCATGAACCATGTCTACACCATTAAAGACAAGACGCAAGGCACAGTCCTACAAACAATTAAGGACTTTGTAAGCTACGTATGGAGACGATGGGGTTATAAGGTAAAGATCTTCTTCCTTGATGGTGAGAGATCACTTGGAGATGAATGGGATGCATGGATTGCAGATGAAGGATACGAAGTGCAGCTTACACCCCCGTACACTGCCGAACCAAATGGTGGAATCGAACGTTTAGGCCGTATGATAATCACATGCTCACGAGCTTTAAAGGAAGCAGGCAACCTACCACAAGGAATTTGGCCTGAAATATTCCGGACTGCAGGTTACCTTATAAACCGGTCTCCATCATCTGTCATTAATGATGAGACTCCGTACGGACTTCTACTCCAGTCCCTACCCTCGCAGCTTCAAAAGCCAGAGCTTACTAAGCCCTTACTCTCTCATATCCGCGCCTATGGATGTAGAGCCTACGCACTCCTCCTTAAGCAACCAAAGCTAAAGAGGATAGAGAGGAACGCCCAAATAGGCTATCTTATTGCTACAACTCTACAAACATCTTTAGAATATGGGTTCCAAATCTTAAGAGGGTTATAGTAACCAGGGACGTTACTTTTGATGAGACAAAGTGTATGATCCATCGTACGAAGCTACAGTTGTAGAATTGGAGCTCCAAAAGACAGTCCAGGTCATTGAACTTCCTGACCTTTTAGAAAAGGAAGGAGAGGAATATGAAGAGGAGCGCGCAGCTCTACAACCTCTACAAGAAATATCAACTCCGTACGAGGCGGAAACAACAGATACAGCTCTTCAACAAGAGGAAGCAGTAGAGGTAGAACCTCAAAAGGAGATAGAGGTCCAACATGAAGAGCCTCAACTCCAGACACCTGAAATGACACCAGAGCGTTCAGAAGACAGTGTACGGAGACACGACGTCTACCTTGCAACCATTGCACACCCAGAAGCAAGGATAAGCCAGCACCAAGCTTTCATCGTTGGTACAGAGTTCCAGAAACGTAAGATACATCGTACGGAGCTCCCTGCTGCTCCGAAGTATTGGAACCAGCTTCAAAACCACCCTAATAAGCTTGGTTTCAAAGCTGCAGCGGAAAAGGAAATAACAGACCTTCAGAAGCAAGACACCTTCAAATCGATGCCAGACAGCACTGTACGGAGTTTTATCATTCCACTAATGTGGGTATTTACCTATAAATTTGACGATAATGCTACCTTGTCAAATACAAGGCTAGACTTGTTGTAAGAGGGGACCTACAGCGTTACTCAATCCATGATGAGACGTACACAGCTACCCTTGTTTCAAAGACCTTCCGAGCCCTCATGGCTATTACAGCCTACTTCGATTTGGATACAGAGCAATTAGATGCAATAAATGCCTTTACAAACAGCCGCATTGATGAGGAGGTCTACGTACGATGTGCTGACGGTTATGAGGAGCAAGGACAATGCTGGAAACTCAACAGGGCCTTATATGGACTCCAACGCTCACCACTCCTATGGTTCCGCAACTTTTCAGATACACTGAAGAAGCTAGGCCTCGTACAGGTCCCAGAAGCCCAGTGTCTATTCGTCTCATCTACAATCATTGTGTTCTTCTATGTAGACGATATCTGCATTCTAAGCCATCCCTACCATAAGGCAGAAGCAACAGAGTTCTGTACGAAACTTATGGAAGCCTATGAATTCCGTGAAATAGGAGAACTTGAATGGTTCTTAGGAATAAGAATTATAAGAGATCAGACAGAGAGAACACTCTGGCTATGCCAGGACTCATACATCGACAAAATAATGACTACGTACGCAGTAACGCCATTGTCGAAAACAGTTAAGGTTCCAATGGTTAATGACAATCTCACTCCATATGATGGGCAAGCAGACAAACAGCAAATCCACCTATATCAACAGAAAGTAGGATCTACCAACTACGCTGCAGTGGTTACAAGACCAGATATATCCCGTACGGTGCAGAAACTATCCGAATACCTTGTTAACCCAGGACCAGACCACATGGCAGCAGTCGATCGACTTATACTCTATCTAAAGGAGACAAAACATCTAGCCCTCCAGCACGGACCAAAGATCAATACATCACGCTTCCAATGCTCTAGTGGTGCTTCGTACACAGATTGCGAAGCTACAAGAAAGAGTACAGAAGGGTATCTCTTCACACTCTTTGGAGGAGCAATTGACTGGCGCTGTACGAAGCAGAAAACTGTATCAACCTCGACTACAGAAGCTGAGCTTCTAGCTCTATCACATAGTGCAAAACAGCTCTATTGGTGGCAGCAATTTTTCTCAACTATCAAACTTGATCTTAATGAGAAGTTCACCCTACAATGTGACAATATGCAGACCGTACGGCTCTTACTCAAAGAGTCCCCGAAGCTAGTTACGAAACTCAAGCATATTGATATTCACTCCCACTGGCTAAGACAGGAGGTAGAGAGACACATCTCGATATCAAGTGGATAGCTACGTACAAGATGCCAGCAGATGGGTTTACAAAAGCCCTACCACGCCAAAGACACGAGGAGTTTATTAACCATTTAAACCTTGTGGACATAAAGCACCTCCTATAGGAGTGCTTACTTAAGAGCACAACTCCGTACGAAGCAGTGGCTACCTTTGTACCTCGGAAACGAGCCCCCTAGATCACAAGATCTAGATTTCTACTTCACCAACTAAAATGCGAGGCAATACAAGAACAGGAGACTGATGAGCTCCGTACGAACATAGAAATCTCAGAATCACCAAGCCGCCTACAGTTACACCCAGTTTCACTATGCGCTCTTATTTCAACTTTCCCAATGGAATACCTTGGGACCTAACAAACATACACTCTTTTTCGACAGTTTCATAGATCCGTACGAGCTAGATACAACACTATGCACGCGGATTTCATATTTTTTCGAAATAAAAAACCCATTTCAACAAAAGGGGGGAAATCAGGGGTAACAAGGGAAATCCCCGACTTTTACCATATAAAAACAGGAGAATCCCTGACTTTTTATACATTTACACTTACGTACGGAGCTGTCACAAGAATGGCACAAGAATCACCAAGGAATCCATTGCCATTTCTGTCAATCTATACAAGAAAGCCACCGCAAAACAAGAAAAACCCAAGAACCACAAGTCCGTACATCCAAATCCCTACTTAAACAGCATTCCTACCACCATTTCTTTGCGCAGCCGTAAGCACCAACTTCCGCGCATGGGCCCGAGTCCCAGCACGTTCTCCAGGACGAGGAGTGTCATCCTTCAGAGGAGGGGTGGGCTCCCGATCATCTTGGGAGGAATCTATAAGCGTTAGCTCATACGGACTCATAAGAACGCTAAAAGGTACATAAGTCAACAGGGAAGGGAAGTACTCACAAAGAGAGCAGGCTGCGGCCTGATGTTTCATGACACAGGAAGCACAGGCACCACCCTGCACATTCCCAAAGGATATGCATACTGTAAAGAAGGGAATCTGCCGAGATCCCTCTTCTCCGTACGCAGCATCACACTGCTCACAACCCATGGATCTCACCTGGGAGACCCGAGCGACATTCTCTCCCGCTGCCTGGATGTAGAACCCTGCAATTTCTTGCGGGTGTTCAAGGCGAACATTTCCAGGAGTCCCATACGGGACAGTCGTGTACACCCGAGGTGCCAACATAGGCAGAGGATGGGGCAGGGGCTCCCGGGCAGCAGGAGAAAGGTAAATGTGGATGTTGGCATCCACAAAGACCTCGCTTAGGTCTTCCACAAAGACCTGTCCAACAGCAGGCATCTTGTCTCGTACGGACTTGCCGATGAGAAGAGAGAAGTATAGTGGGGTGTGGGGAGTCATAGGATAGGAGATGCAAGGCAGGCAGGGGCAGAAGGCAGAAGGCAGCCAGGCAGTCCAAGGTATAGATGACCGATATGGAAGAAAGATGGAAGATCCGAACTGAAGTGGCCAACTTGTTTTTCGATCGGAAATGAGTCACCGGGCGTAGATGTGAATCATCGGGCGTACTTGACACCTTTTTTCCCAAGTTTCTCACACTACAATTTGAGGCTCGTATGGGGATACGTGGGGGGGTGTGTTGTAATAGTCACATGATCTCACGTGATCTCCGTACGGATTATTGGTAAAGCCAAGTATAGGTTACATAGTCAGGAATACATACATTTATTACTCAACAGCTACTTACAAACTGGCACCCACGGCGCCGGTTGACAATACTCGTCAACTGTATAGTTATATATAATAATGAGTAACGTATTTCACAAGCGAGTTGGCCACCCAAGCAAGTTGGCCACCAAAACACCAAAACGCGTCAACTTGACTACAGTCAACTATGCCACAACCAACACAAGCCCAATCCTCAAATCAAGAGGGTAGAATACTATTAGCTATTCAGGCACTAAAGGAACGTCAATTTAAGAGTGTCCGAGCTGCTGCATTATCATACGACGTGTCACGTAGTACCCTTACCAACAGAATGAATGGAATGACCTCCCGACGTGATTCTACCCCAAAATCACAAAACCTAACTTCGTACGAAGAGTCAGCTCTTGTTCAGTATATTCTCGACCTAGATTCGCGTGGATTTCCGCCCCGGCCGCAAGCTGTGCAAGAAATGGCAGACCTACTACTCTCCGAACGAGGTGAGAGCCCTACTGGGAAGAACTGGACTAGTAACTTCATAACGCGTCGTACGGAACTTAAAGCAAAGTTTAGTCGGAAGTACGATTACAAACGAGCAAAATGCGAAGATCCAAAGATAATTGAAGGGTGGTTCACCCTCGTACGAAACACAGTCGCAAAATATGGCATCTTAGAGCAGGACATCTACAACTTTGATGAAGCAGGTTTCGCAATGGGAGTTATTGCTACTGCAAAGGTAGTCACAAGCTCAGAAGCAAAGAGCCGTCCAAAGACTATACAGCCAGGGAATAGAGAGTGGGTGTCAATTATCCAAGGTGTTAATTCGTACGGATGGGCACTCCCGCCGTTCATTATTTTCAAGGCGCAGAATCACCTCTCAGCTTGGTACGAAGACTCAGGATTACCAGACAATTGGGTGATTACGCTTAGTGAGAATGGGTGGACTTCAAATTCAATTGGGTATGAGTGGATTCAACACTTCAATCGACATACAAATGCTCGTACGGTCGGAACCTATCGCCTTCTTATTCTTGATGGACATGAGAGCCACATCTCTGCTCAATTTCAACACTACTGCACAGAACGGAAGATAATTACCCTCTGTATGCCACCACACTCATCACACATTCTTCAGCCTCTTGATGTGAGCTGCTTTGCGCCACTAAAGCTTTCGTACGGAAAGCAGATTGAAACCTTCGTACGGAACCGGCTAAACCACATCACAAAGCTTGAGTTCCTCTCTGCATTCAAAGAAGCATTCAAAGCTACGTTTACAGAGCAGAACATCAAGAGCGGATTCCGAGCTACAGGACTAGTTCCGTACGAGCCACAGAGTGTCCTCTCTCACTTAAATCTACGCTTAAGGACTCCAACACCTCCTATAGTTGAGAGTGACAATTGGACTTCAAAGACTCCTCAAACTATAAGGGAGCTTAACTTTCAAACAGAGCACATTAAGAACCGCATCGTACGACATCAGAATAGCTCTCCTACCTCAATTAATGATGCTGTTAGCTGCCTTGTTAAAGGGGCGGAAATGATGATGCATTCTGCTGTTCTACTTAAGGCAGAAGTTAAGGCTCTACAAGCGGCAAATGAACAGAAAAAGAGGAGGGAAAGGAAGCGCAAGAGGCGTATAATGCAAGGGGGCAGTCTCTCCGTACGAGAGGGAGAGGATATGCTTCAGAGTGCTGAGGTAGAAGCTCAAGTCCGTACGGAGGTGGCAAGTGAGCATTGTCGGCAGGTGGGTTCTACAGGCCGACAGAAGCGCTGTGGCATATGTGGTATTATGGGCCATAACTCCCGTACATGTACGAGGCACAAGGATTCAATTACGATCGAATAAGGGTCATTATGTAGGGTGGTGGTGTAGTAGTAGGCAGTAATAGTCAATTTTGGTGTTTTGGTGGCCAACTTGCTTGGGTGGCCAACTCGCTTGTGAAATACGTTAACACTTTTACCAACCCCTATTTGCAATATCAACTGCCTATGGCGTCGCCCTAGCCTACCTAACTGCTACCTTACAAACTCTTAACTAATACCACTAGCGAACCCTAAACTAGCGATGAAACTAGCGAGTCTACTATCCTCAAAGACTCTCTAGCAGCTACAGCTCAAAGCGCTTTAGCTCAGAGTAGCTAGGCTGATGGCATTATAATATCAAAAAGGGGGGGGAAGGGGCTTACGATAGACTAAAAGACAACAATTCTCTGGCTTTGTGTCTAAAAAAGTGATATATATGGTGTTATTACAGATAGATCCTTTTGGCAGCTTATAACTAAGGATGAGGAACACTTGCTAGGTTTAACCCATAACTCGCTTAGAAGAGTTATTACTAGTCTTATTCGAGAGCGCCAGAGCGAAGTCTCATTATGGCCAGAAGGACGAAGTGGTGAAGAAGATCCTCCTTCTTCATATAACAACGTAGTTGACTGGTGGATTAATATCGTGTTGAAGGAGGAGGTTGCTCAGACTGATTGGTTGGGCGTGTGGCTCGCCAACCGAATCGGGTTGCGGACCACCCACAAATAGTTCTGTAGATAGCTTCACTCAAAACAACAATACAACACATATTCTAGTGAACTGTTGTTCAACTCAACTTGATGACTTATACTACCGCTGCAAGTGATATCATACACTTCAACAGGTTATGAGCCCGGCTATCGCAAAGCGAAAAGTTATCATATTCAGAGAAGTGCTCATTACAGCACAGACAATCTAATTCATGGACAAGTGCTAACATACAGCACATACACTCCACAAAAACCTCAAGACGAACTTGCAGCCTCTGGCAGATGATCGATTCAACTCAGCAAGAAGAGGAAGAAGAAGATCAATTCTACAATCTAGGATGCCCCAGATCGAATCCATCATCCATCATCCAACTCTCACAAACTCGAAATTCCTTATACAAACACACAAGACCTTTCACAATGGGTGAAGGCAATGGAGGTCGGAATAACCTCCCAGAGAATATGAAACTCCAAGGAGAGGAGAATTACATACAATGGAAAACTGTGATGGGGATCTTGTGGATGCCAACGACCTTGTCCGTTTTGTACACCCAAAAGGCACAGCTCCTCCACAAGCAGATGAGTTCGATGAGAAGGTGGATATTGAAAAATTCGCCACATGGAAAGCATGGAAAGCAGGAGACGCATCGATGAAACTCATCATCCAAACTAATGTGAAGGAAACACCATCACAGCTGCTTGCAGGTTGCAAATCTGCATGCGAGATGTGGGTAATCTTACAGTCTCAATATGAAGGCACTGGTGCTGTGCTCAACTTTAATGCAATTGAGACATACACCAAAATCAAGTACGGAGATTACGCAAACCTCGAACAGTTCATTATTGGCTTCAAAAAGGCAATTGAGAAACTTACCAACCTCGAGATCCCTCCACCAGATGTCTGGCACCCAATTCTCTTCATCATGGCACTCTCAGATGCATTGCCAATATGGGCAGAACGCCAGTGCTCGAATACATGCAGTGAAGCAACAATGTGTTACGGCTAAGTGCTAGTGCTATGGCTAGCGCTTACGGCTGCAACCTCACGTGATGGATAACATTGGATATCATGGATATTATGTTATCCATGTTATCCTCGGATATCCCTTTGGCATGACGCCACTATATAAGTAGATAGTATTTCCTTAGATAGGAGCTTCGGCTTTCCAAGTAACACGTTACAATACTGTAACGTGTTACTTGGAAAGCCTTTGTGTCTAATCCCCTGCCTCCTCTGTCAAGTCAACCTTACGCAAGAAACCTCTTGTCTTCTATCGTTTAGAAGTCAGCGTTACACAAAGCTTACACTTTCCACACTTATTGAGGACATTACAGATGAAGCCCGAAAGAAGGACAAAAAAGAGGATGGAAGCACACATTACAATGGAAAGCCAAATCAGAAAGGGAAGCCAAAGTCAAAATTCAAGGACATAAAGGGCAAAGGAGGAAAGATGTGCAAGAACTGCGGAAATCTGAATGCAAGGCATGAACCTGAAAACTGCTTCGTCACAAACAAGAAGCTTCGACAGGAATGGGAGCAGAGAATAGGAAAGAAGTTCACACCATTCAATGCATTAAGCAACAAATCAAACAAGCTAAAGAAGGCAAAGAATGAGAACTCATCAGATGAAGAAGATGAAGATCATCAATTGACAAGAATGCCACCACATACATTTGTGTTAAAGTCAACCACTCAAGGTTGCCAATTCAAAATGGCACATTATTTGACACTGGAGCAGACACACATATCGCCAGCTCAATTGAGGAATTTAACAGTGGCACATACGAAACCTCATTGACTCTTCCATCCATTGACACAGCAAGTGGCATCACCAAGCTACTTGGTCAAGGCGAAAGAACATTGCAATGCGCAACAGATGATGGAGGCATTCACACCCTACACCTTACCAAAGTTCAATATCTGCCAAATTGTGGAATGAACATTTTTGGAGCTCGAAAGCTCTTTCTTAGGAAGGGGTGATTTACGGATCATGGATAAGAATCTTTTACTCAACAAGGAGGGAATTCCAATGTTCCGCTTTGATGAGAACATGATGATAATTAAAGCCTCGCGTACATATGCATTTCCAGCAACTACTCACAAAGATAAGAAGAATCCTCCAC